TCGACACCAAAGGTCCCCAGATCAAAACCTCAATTGCAATCGCTTTCTTTTTTGTTTCCAAAAATGAAATTTACGTGACGTGATATTGAATCTTTCACGATATTTTTTCTATTTTGTTTCATGCGAGACCAGTTAAAATAATGAAACAACTAAATCGTTAATTGTTTGAGATTGGAAATATAATGTATATGTAATTTAATTATACTTCATTTCCGTTTGAGAAACCCTACCAGTTCTTTTGATTGCGGCATTTTCAGAGCAAATTTAATAGGTAATACAGCCGAATGTACATGCGGCAAAACCCACGTGAAACCCTTTATTACTAATTTGGTGTCTGTCCCATGGACACTCAGAACCGTAATTTATAAATAAGACAGTTACAACCTTTCTGTGAGAATTTGATTTTTATTTATTCTTATATGTCGATGCGAAATTCAGCAAAGAGAATAATATCTTAATTTAATCTCTCTCTATCTCTCTCTCTCACTCTCTCCCCCCCCCCCTTTCTCTCTCTCTCTCTCTCCCCCCCCCCCACTCTCTCTCTTCGTGTTTCAGCTGTTTGGTTCTCAGTCCACCTTTCCTCTTTCAAACTGTGTTTAGTTGTGTCTTTCTGGTTGTCTCCCTGACCCTTTCAAACTTGCCGTCATATTCAAGAGTATTCATTCAAAACTTAAAATTTTCAATTTCCAAGAGTTCAGAAACTCATTACAGTGATAATTATATATATCTATTTCTTCTCTCATTCCATATGATTCCCTGCAGTGTTGACACAAGATAGAATAATAAGTAAACCTGTTACAGTCCACTCTATTAACTATACACTTTAGGGAGTCATTGAACCTGTTACAGTCCACTTTAGTGACTACACACTTTAGGGAGTCAGTGAACTTGTTTCAGTCCACTTTAGTAACTATACACTTTAGGGAGTCACTGAACTCGTTACAGTCCACTTTAGTGACTATACACTTTAGGGAGTCACTGAACTTGTCACAGTCCACTTTAGTAACTATACACTAGGGGAGTCAGTGAACTCGTTACAGTCCACTTTAGTAACTATACACTTTAGGGAGTCATTGAACCTGTTACACTCCACTTTAGTGACTACACACTTTAGGGAGTCAGTGAACTTGTTACAGTCCACTTTAGTAGCTGTACACTTTAGGGGAGTCAGTGAACTTGTTACAGTCCCCTTTAGTGACTACACACTTTAGGGAGTCAGTGAACTTGTTACAGTCAACTTTAATGACTATGCACTTTAGGGAGTCAGTGAACTTGTTACAGTCCACTTTAGTAACTATACAATAGGGGAGTCAGTGAACTCGTTACAGTCCACTTTAGTAACTATACACTTTAGGGAGTCAGTGAACCTGTTACAGTCCACTTTAGTAACTATACACTTTAGGGAGTCACTGAACTTGTTACAGTCCACTTTAGTAACTATACACTTTAGGGGAGTCAGTGAACCTGTTACAGTCCACTTTAGTGACTACACACTTTAGGGAGTCAGTGAACCTGTTACAGTCCCCTTTAGTGACTACACACTTTAGGGAGTCAGTGAACTTGTTACAGTCAACTTTAGTAACTATACACTTTAGGGAGTCATTGAACCTGTTACAGTCCACTTTAGTAACTATACACTTTAGGGGAGTCAGTGAACCTGTTACAGTCCACTTTAGTGACTACACACTTTAGGGAGTCAGTGAACCTGTTACAGTCCACTTTAGTGACTACACACTTTAGGGAGTCAGTGAACCTGTTACAGTCCACTTTAGTAACTATACACTTTAGGGAGTCATTGAACCTGTTACAGAACCTGTTACAGTCCACTTTAGTGACTACACACTTTAGGGAGTCAGTGAACCTGTTACAGTCCACTTTAGTAACTATACACTTTAGGGAGTCATTGAACCTGTTACAGTCCACTTTAGTGACTACACACTTTAGGGAGTCAGTGAACCTGTTACAGTCCACTTTAGTGACTACACACTTTAGGGAGTCAGTGAACCTGTTACAGTCCACTTTAGTGACTACACACTTTAGGGGGTCAGTGAACCTGTTACAGTCCACTTTAGTGACTACACACTTTAGGGAGTCAGTGAACCTGTTACAGTCCACTTTAGTAACTATATCCGGTGGTAGTGATACATTATAGGGCAATCAATAGTAGGTTAGGTGGAATATTGAAGTAATTAACTGTTGATATAGGGTATGATAATATAATCTGAGTGATCTAGGGGAATATTGAAGTAATTAACTGTTGATATAGGGTATGATAATATAATCTGAGTGATCTAGGGGAATATTGAAGTAATTAACTGTTGATATAGGGTATGATAATATAATCTGAGTGATCTAGGGGGATATTGAAGTAATTAACTGTTGATATAGGGTATGATAATATAATCTGAGTGATCTAGGGGAATATTGAAGTAATTAACTGTTGATATAGGGTATGATAATATAATCTGAGTGATCTAGGGGAATATTGAAGTAATTAACTGTTGATATAGGGTATGATAATATAATCTGAGTGATCTAGGGGAATATTGAAGTAATTAACTGTTGATATAGGGTATGATAATATAATCTGAGTGATCTAGGGGAATATTGAAGTAATTAACTGTTGATATAGGGTATGATAATATAATCTGAGTGATCTAGGGGAATATTGAAGTAATTAACTGTTGATATAGGGTATGATAATATAATCTGACTCATCAGGGGGAATATTGAAGTAATTAACTGTTGATATAGGGTATGATAATATAATCTGACTCATCAGGGGGAATATTGAAGTAATTAACTGTTGATATAGGGTATGATAATATAATCTGAGTGATCTAGGGGAATATTGAAGTAATTAACTGTTGATATAGGGTATGATAATATAAGCTGACTCATCAGAGGGAATATTGAAGTAATTAACTGTTGATATAGGGTATGATAATATAATCTGAGTGATCTAGGGGAATATTGAAGTAATTAACTGTTGATATAGGATATGATAATATAATCTGAGTGATCTAGGGGAATATTGAAGTAATTAACTGTTGATATAGGGTATGATAATATAATCTGAGTGATCTAGGGGAATATTGAAGTAATTAACTGTTGATATAGGGTATGATAATATAATCTGAGTGATCTAGGGGAATATTGAAGTAATTAACTGTTGATATAGGGTATGATAATATAATCTGAGTGATCTAGGGGAATATTGAAGTAATTAACTGTTGATATAGGGTATGATAATATAATCTGAGTGATCTAGGGGAATATTGAAGTAATTAACTGTTGATATAGGGTATGATAATATAATCTGAGTGATCTAGGGGAATATTGAAGTAATTAACTGTTGATATAGGGTATGATAATATAATCTGAGTGATCTAGGGGAATATTGAAGTAATTAACTGTTGATATAGGGTATGATAATATAATCTGAGTGATCTAGGGGAATATTGAAGTAATTAACTGTTGATATAGGGTATGATAATATAATCTGAGTGATCTAGGGGAATATTGAAGTAATTAACTGTTGATATAGGGTATGATAATATAATCTGAGTGATCTAGGGGAATATTGAAGTAATTAACTGTTGATATAGGATATGATAATATAATCTGAGTGATCTAGGGGAATATTGAAGTAATTAACTGTTCGATATAGGGTATGATAATATAATCTGAGTGATCTAGGGGAATATTGAAGTAATTAACTGTTGATATAGGGTATGATAATATAATCTGAGTGATAATTAACTAGGGGAATATTGAATCAGTATTGATTTAACTGTTGATATAGGGTATGATAATATAATCTGAGTGATCTAGGGGAATATTGAAGTAATTAACTGTTGATATAGGGTATGATAATATAATCTGAGTGATCTAGGGGAATATTGAAGTAATTAACTGTTGATATAGGGTATGATAATATAATCTGAGTGATCTAGGGGAATATTGAAGTAATTAACTGTTGATATAGGGTATGATGATATAATCTGAGTGATCTAGGGGAATATTGAAGTAATTAACTGTTGATATAGGGTATGATAATATAATCTGAGTGATCCAGGGGAATATTGAAGTAATTAACTGTTGATATAGGGTATGATAATATAATCTGAGTGATCTAGGGGAATATTGAAGTTATTAACTGTTCGATATAGGGTATGATAATATAATCTGAGTGATCTAGGGGAATATTGAAGTAATTAACAGTTGATATAGGGTATGATAATATAATCTGACTGATCTAGGGGAGTAGCTTGACAAATTGTGGTCATACAGAAAAGTCTTACTAACATTCCGTAAATAACCTGGTATATCAATATATATATATATATATTTTTTTCCACATCATTGATATTTTTTCTACTTTGTGATGGTACCTAGCCGGATTCTTTGTACCATGTATGATAAGTACATCTACACAGTCCTGTTTTGATCCCTGGCTTGACAAACTCCAGAAGATTATTTTTTTCTGAAACAGTTATCCCAAACTACATCAGCATATTTAATTACGGGTCGCGTAAATTATCAATGATTTTCCATCTAATCCGTGTTTCATTATCCTTAAGATATTTATCCGCTGAAAAGCTTACTGATAAATATTATAATATGGTCTCTCGTTGCCGCAGAAGTTCAGACGAGTTATCTACCTTCGCGGTCTCTAGTTTGACAAGGTCACATACAGGGATATTGTAGTGTCCTGATATCGCTTGTACAATCAAGGGTAACGCTATACAGCGTATCTATTTAAGTATGTTGATATTCTGTAAGTTCAGGTCCACATTCAAATATAATGTTTTATTATTTTCTAAAATGAAAAAAAGTTTGTGTTTTAATCCCTGTAAAGAAGGAAAAAAATATATAACAACCAACTGCAATGTACTTTCGGTTTGTATATGTGTATGTGTGTACCAGATACGTAGATAAAAAACTTGTCATGTTCTACTTAACCGAGCTTTAGCACACCCACGTAAGGGAAACCTACATTACGTAGAAATGTGAACTGGGAGTGCCTTTCGGATTTCGTTTTACAGGTAAGCTTTGTCATCGTCTTCTTTTCATTTCAAATGGTGGGTATGTGGTGTTAATATCGTGTTTATTATCGACAGTTGGTGTTTATTCTAAATGATTAACAGTTTTAGATAGATGTAACAACCCTTTCTACTGGTTACGTGTATTTGGCTACATACATCCGGGTTACCCGGTCTGTCGATTAATTATGTTTACCGTTAAACGTTGATTGTTTTGACATAGTTTAGATCCAGAAGAGACACACAATATTGTTTATAATTTGACACAGTGTTAGCTGAGATGTTAAAGGAGGGATATCGTATAGTTATGTATGTACAACTATTCAGAGAGTCATGGACTGGTCTGCCAAGGTACAGACATAATAAACGTGTACAGTAGTACAGGCCGTTGTCGATGTCACATACATCCGAAGACGCTGCTGCGGGCCGGTACTTAATAGGGACTACGTATTGGTCTACAATCTGTTTACCATCTCGTCACACTATTTTTGACCTTACTGTACATATGATTACAGTGTAGCCGAAAACGTTGGTCAATTCCATATCATCTTGTACTCTACGTGCGTCAGTGCTTGTACACTCCGCATTGGTCATTTGTCTGATGAAGATAATCGTGTAGTCATCGAAACATCACACTGTAATCTTCCACTGGTTGTGTTATAAGAATTTATATTCTATTGACATTACCAACCTGAAGAAAATGTTTCAAGAGAAAAAAAAATCGTTTGGGCGTCACAAATATTTCATATCGCAAATCAATACAGGTAGTTTCAACTTTTATTCATATCGTTATTTCCATCCTCTTCAAATATCATGACTGACACCTAAAGGTGAAATGTAAACACATCGGGACAGGGAAATTCCCTTCCTCTAGAAATAAGCTTGTCCCTACTTTACAAATATCATGACTGATACCAAACTAAAGGCGAAGTCTTATCCATTAGGACTGGGCGATCCCCCTCCTGTAGAAAGCATTTCTTCTACTCTACTAAAATGTCTAGTTCTGTCCTATTGTGCGAAAAGTCGTAAAATTTGGAAAATTGACGTTTAACTCAAAGTGTTAAAATGGAATGTTTTTTCCCTTGACTTTTTGAAGATTGCAATATTTGTTATACAAAAAGTCTTCTTTTCTTGCAATTATCTTATCCTTCATCTCTTACAGTAATTCAATATGCCATACAAAAAAAAAAAAAAAAAAGATAAAATATGTAAAAAATGTAAAAGGATTTTTCTTCAGGATTTTAGGTATATCATATGACACCCAGCGAAGCGTGTATATAAATATGACATGTAAACACCAACGATTCGGGAAGCATGTTATCTATAATAATATCTCAAGCAACACGAAAGTCATGGATCTTGGCAATAAAACGCTGACGATCTTTGTTTCGTTGTGGAAAAGTGCCAGGTCTGTCGTGTCTTTAATTTCCAATTCTGGTGGGTGTATATGATGGGTATGGTCAGTAAAGTTCTGTTTTAAAGGTTTTTTTTAAAGACAAGGTTTTGACATATTTAAGAGATAAATTTGAGGACTTGACAGGGTCTTTGTGACATGTTTTGATAAATTGTGTGATGCAGTTTAATCTATTTTTTGACTTTATAGCATCTTATCTAAATTTGCTTGATCAATCTTCGAGATTGCAGGTGAACGACGCTGCATGTAAACTTCTGGTCCCCAAGGTTTGCAGTAACCTGCTTACCACATTTTAATTCATTCGAAAAGCGGCACGGTTCAGAATATACAAATGTGCTTGACTTGTTCTGAAATGATCAGCTATATTATACAAAATATACAGAATTATGAGGCTAGTGCACATTCCCGCCTAGATCTTAAATCTTACTTCGATCACTTCTTTGGACGAGCCAGTTGTATGATGTAGTTTGATGTATTAGTAGGCTTTACTTATCTGAATTTGTATTAAATGGTGTTACTTACCTGTCTTTTGTACAACCCTTTGTATTAAATTGTGTTAGTTACCTGTCTTTTGTATAACCTTTGGTTTAAATGGTGTTACTTGTCTGTCTTTTATACAACTATTTGTATTAAATGGTGTTACTTGTTTGTCTTTTGTACAACTATTTGTATTAAATGGTGTTACTTGTTTGTCTTTTGTACAACCCTTTGTATTAAATGGTGTTACTTACCTGTCTTTTGTACAATCCTTTGTATTAAATGGTGTTATTTGTTTGTCTTTTGTACAACCCTTTGTATTAAATGGTGTTATTTGTTTGTCTTTTGTGCAACCCTTTGTATTAAATGGTGTTATTTGTTTGTCTTTTGTACAACCCTTTGTATTAAATGGTGTTATTTGTTTGTCTTTTGTACAACCCTTTGTATTAAATGGTGTTACTTGTTTGTCTTTTGTACAACCCTTTATATTAAATGGTGTTACTTACCTGTCTTTTGTACAACCCTTTGTATTAAATGGTGTTACTTACCTGTCTTTTGTACAACCCTTTATATTAAATGGTGTTACTTACCTGTCTTTTGTACAACCCTTTGTATTATATGGTGTTACTTGTTTGTCTTTTGTACAACCCTTTGTATTATATGGTGTTACCTGTTTGTCTTTCGTACAACCCTTTATATCAAATGGTGTTACTTGTCTGTCTTTTGTACAACCCTTTGTATTAAATGGTGTTATTTGTTTGTCTTTTGTGCAACCCTTTGTATTAAATTGTGTTATTTGTTTGTCTTTTGTACAACCCTTTGTATTAAATGGTGTTATTTGTTTGTCTTTTGTACAACCCTTTATATTAAATGGTGTTACTTACCTGTCTTTTGTACAACCCTTTGTATTAAATGGTGTTACTTACCTGTCTTTTGTACAACCCTTTATATTAAATGATGTTACTTACCTGTCTTTTGTACAACCCTTTATATTAAATGGTGTTACTTACCTGTCTTTTGTACAACCCTTTATATCAAATGGTGTTGCTTACCTGTCTTTTGTATAACCCTTTGTATTAAATGGTGTTACTTACCTGTCTTTTGTACAACCCTTTGTATTAAATGGTGTTACTTACCTGTCTTTTGTACAACCCTTTATATCAAATGGTGTTGCTTACCTGTCTTTTGTATAACCCTTTGTATTAAATGGTGTTACTTACCTGTCTTTTGTACAACCCTTTGTATTAAATTGTGTTAGTTACCTGTCTTTTGTATAACCTTTGGTTTAAATGGTGTTACTTGTCTGTCTTTTATACAACTATTTGTATTAAATGGTGTTACTTGTTTGTCTTTTGTACAACTATTTGTATTAAATGGTGTTACTTGTTTGTCTTTTGTACAACCCTTTGTATTAAATGGTGTTACTTACCTGTCTTTTGTACAATCCTTTGCATTAAATGGTGTTATTTGTTTGTCTTTTGTACAACCCTTTGTATTAAATGGTGTTATTTGTTTGTCTTTTGTGCAACCCTTTGTATTAAATGGTGTTATTTGTTTGTCTTTTGTGCAACCCTTTGTATTAAGTGGTGTTATTTGTTTGTCTTTTGTACAACCCTTTGTATAAAATGGTGTTACTTGTTTGTCTTTTGTACAACCCTTTATATTAAATGGTGTTACTTACCTGTCTTTTGTACAACCCTTTGTATTAAATGGTGTTACTTACCTGTCTTTTGTACAACCCTTTATATTAAATGGTGTTACTTACCTGTCTTTTGTACAACCCTTTGTATTATATGGTGTTACTTGTTTGTCTTTTGTACAACCCTTTGTATTATATGGTGTTACCTGTTTGTCTTTCGTACAACCTTTTATATCAAATGGTGTTACTTGTCTGTCTTTTGTACAACCCTTTGTATTAAATGGTGTTATTTGTTTGTCTTTTGTACAACCCTTTGTATTAAATGGTGTTATTTGTTTGTCTTTTGTACAACCCTTTATATTAAATGGTGTTACTTACCTGTCTTTTGTACAACCCTTTGTATTAAATGGTGTTACTTACTTGTCTTTTGTACAACCCTTTATATTAAATGATGTTACTTACCTGTCTTTTGTACAACCCTTTATATTAAATGGTGTTACTTACCTGTCTTTTGTACAACCCTTTATATCAAATGGTGTTGCTTACCTGTCTTTTGTATAACCCTTTGTATTAAATGGTGTTACTTACCTGTCTTGTGTACAACCCTTTATATTAAATGGTGTTACTTACCTGTCTTTTGTACAACCCTTTATATCAAATGGTGTTGCTTACCTGTCTTTTGTATAACCCTTTGTATTAAATGGTGTTACTTACCTGTCTTTTGTACAACCCTTTGTATTAAATGGTGTTACTTACCTGTCTTTTGTACAACCCTTTGTATTAAATGGTGTTACTTGTTTGTCTTTTGTACAACCCTTTATATTAAATGGTGTTACTTACCTGTCTTTTGTACAACCCTTTGTATTAAATGGTGTTACTTACCTGTCTTTTGTACAACCCTTTGTATTATATGGTGTTACTTGTTTGTCTTTTGTACAACCCTTTGTATTATATGGTGTTACTTGTTTGTCTTTTGTACAACCCTTTATATTAAATGGTGTTACTTGTCTGTCTTTTGTACAACCCTTTGTGTTAAACGGTGTTACTTGTTTGTCTTTTGTACAACCCTTTGTATTATATGGTGTCGCTTACTTTGTATGCTATAATGCTATATTAGTCAAGAAAAAAACAAACCGAATGGTTACTTGTTCAAACCGCCGCGTGACAATGTGTTTTCATTACTCCCTCCTATTACATGTTAAGCAGGTTTATAATGACAAATATCAAACTTTTTCATAATGGCAGCTATTCAATTACATGCAATGTTGCTCTCGTGATATTTTAGTTGTGAAACAATGGATTTTTGGATCTCTTTTTTTTCAATATGGTTAAACAGTTACAACAACGATCAATGACATGTCTGGACAACCCGTTGCGCATTTGAAGACAGGTGGACCATAACCACACAGAGATAATACAGAGCGGTTGTGAACGGTCAGGACGAAGCCATGATTGTGGATAGTTGTGTGGATCGTTGGCAGACTGATACTAAACGCAACCACGAATGATTATCATTGCTATGATGGGACGTTTTACATTAAAAGGACTGCTGATTTCTGTACTTCTCACCAACCTATTATCACCTGTTCTTTGTGGAGCTTCCCTTGTTACACGTAAGTACCAATACTTTTTTTTCTACATTTTCCGGAATTTTTTTATCATTGTGTTAAATGTTAGTTCGGCAGTTTATGGCTGGTGACGATATGTGATGAGTGCAATCAAGGTGGGCTCCAGACCGCTGTTCCTCAAGAACAGCGGTTCAAAAAGCATCAGTGTGAGGGGAGCGTGTCTGTTGGCTTAGCTGAATAATATTTTATCTAAGTGTCATACAAATTTAAAATCATAATTAAAAATAGACAAATAAATAAATAAATAAATAAATAAACAAACAAACAAACAAACAAACAAACAAACAAAATAAATAAATAAATAAAAAAATTCACATGCATATTATGGGCGGGCATAATTTCACATACGAGGCACTAGAATTCAAACTAGTTAAAACATATGTAAACATAAAAACTGAAATAGAACACATATGCTCTGATTTGATGGTGGGAGAAGTGCGCTGGACAGTGGTCGGGCTTATTCCTACTATATCTGGCAGTTTATTTCAATAATACCTCACCACCATATAGACAATAGCGTATTCCCACCGGCAGCCCATAATTTACATAACAAAGAAAATAAATATCCCGTGAGAGGACCCTTAATGCTTGGTACGAACGCACCGCGCATGACCCAAAACCTCACTTCCGCTTATGGCAGCCATCACCGACTGAGGAGCGACATTTCTTCTACGGTTTTCAGGCATTTCTTAGTGTTTCACGTGTTATTTGTGTTGTACAGTATCTGTATTTGGTTCTTACATTTATTGTTGACAGGTCTTTCTTCGTGGTTTGTGTTGTCAGTCCCTGTTTTTGCCGTTTTCGGCCTTTCTGTGTTGGTTGGTTACCGCACACGTGGACTGTTTTACGTTACGATACCGCTGTGTAGAAGGCCCTCTCGGTGTCTCCTACTGTTTGTTTTGTTACCATTTACTTCTGTCAACTATTCGGTGTTTTTCACTCGATTTTTTTTTCTCGTGCGTTGCTGGTCGCTGCCCGCCGAGCAGTATGACAGGTAAGAAGGGGCAGAGTGCTTCTAAAACTCGTCAGGGAGATTGCGGTCATGTCATCCTCGATGGGGATGACCATGACCTCTGTCTTTCCTGTCGAGACTGCTCCCGGGATAGACCTTGTTCCGTGTGTTTGGCTTGGCCACATACCTTGTGGGACAAGGTACTATCCCATAAGTCTGTCACCCGAAAAAAGGGTATTAAGGCTGGGGCAGACAGTAAGCATCCAAAAGCACAGAGTGGAGCTGTAGTCAGCCTTCCACCTGGCAGTGAGGCCATTTTACCCCCGGAGGGGGAAGTAATTTTGCTTCCTAGTGGTAGGTCCTCTTTGGCTACAGAGGAGCCTACTCACGATCATATTTCTGGGACGGTAGGGTCCTTAGGGTTTCCTATCGTGCTCCAGAAGGGCACTCACCCGGGAATTTCCGTGGAGGTCGAAGGGAGCGAGTGTCCGGGTACCATCTCCGTTAGCGGAATGGCTACCGAACAGGCCAGTCATGCGACCCGGGCCCCATTGAGGGGTGCCGGTGTACCCACTGACAGTTGGCCGGCTGGCACTGCCAGTTATGACGGTGTTACTGGAGAGGCTGCACTGGGAGCAGGGAGTGACTCGGTTTCACTTCCTGGTGTTGGGGTTGACTACCCACTATCTGGGTTTGGGTCCAGGGTATTGCACCCTTCGGTTCCTCAGTCTTCCTTACCTCGATCTGGTCCTCCACCAGTTCGAGCTCCTGGCTCAGTGGGGTTCTTGGGAGCGCCTGTGCACCCCCCACCTTACCCCTTTCCTCAGTCTGCACCCAGGTTTGGTGGTTATATGCAGTCTCCTGACAGTGTTGGCCATTATCGGCCATACTTGACAGGCATGTCTCCAGTAGGGAGCAGTTCATTTCCCGGTCCTGTGGATTCCGGTATGTTGCCTCCCCCCCAGTATTCTGGCTATGGCCAATGCTGGGGCCCTTCCCAGCCTTTGGGATTTCCATACTCTGGGTATGGTCAGACCCCTTTTGGTTACCCAGGCCAACCTTGGGGTACCTCAGCCTTCTGTCACCAGCCTGGTGTTGAGTCGGGTCCCCCCCCCTTCTCGCTCTCGCCAACACAAATCTAAGAGGCTTAACCGTCCCTCAAAGATTTCGGCTGACACCCATAAGACCTCGCTTTCCCATAGGTCTAAGCGTAAGGTCAACTTTGCTAATCTTAGTGCTGGCCTTTCTTCTACCTCTAAGGTTAGAAGATTGGAGACTCCGGACCAGTCTGTGACTAGGTCTGTCTCCAGTTTAGGCCAGTGCCCTCAGTCTGATCATGATGAGTCTGAGGACATGGATTGTGAGGAGTCAGAGGCTGAGGTTGTGGGTCAGCAGGCCTTACCTGATGATGGGGACACTCTGTCACTGGATGCTGGGTCTGATGTTGAATCGGAGACCCGCTCTTGGCTCCCAGCAGTCCAAGTTGAGGGTTCCTGTCAGGAGTCTTCAGACTCCGAGGTGGACTCTCCTGACACCGAGTCAGTCCTTGCAGTCTCCCAGGCTGAAAGGAATCTGGATTCCTTCCGCAGCCTGCGTTTGGAGGTTGCGTCACTCCTCGGCGTGGAGTTTTGCCCTCCTCCCTCGGCTTCGGGTCTTCCAGAGAGGACTTCTACTTTAAGTGCCTTTCTTCCCTCAGAGCCTGAGGTTAGGGCATCAGGTAGGTCATTGGCGGAGGGTACTATGGTTTCCTCAGCATTGGCCCAGATTCAGAAGGTTCTTCAAGCCAAAGGTTCTGCTAATAGGAAGCAGGATCTTTCCGGTTTGCTTTTGGGGGTGAATGATATTGAGGGGTTCAATCCTTCTCGATATGCAGTTCACGACCCCTCAATAGAATCTAATCCAGCTAAGGTGGACCTTCTTTTGGACCACTGCTGGCCTGGAAGATCAAATGACATGATTCATTTGTCTCCCAAAGAGCATAGTCGGATAGAAAGACTGCTTCGCCTTGCCATTCACGTGCTGGCTTATGCAGATTCTTTTTCCTCTGCTTTGTTTGTAGCTTCTTCTCGTTCGGAGGAGAGCCTACCTGACAAGACTAAGCTCTTGGCTGAACTCAGCAAGGCTATGAACCGGGCCCACATGGATGGGACTGCGCTCATTCTGGCAGTTTTGACTGATTTCATTCTGGCTCGTCGTGCTTCAGTCTTGAAGCCAAGACTAACTATTGGAGAGCCTTTTATATCGGATCTCATGACTGCTCCCCTGTCAGGCTCTGAAATGTTTGGAGGGGTTCTCTCCTCTGTCATGGACAGAGTCAACAATGACAAGTCAGCTTCAGCTCGGTTGGAGAAACTTAGGGCTAAGCCTAAGCCTGGACGGGTGCAGCGCCCAGGCAAGCCTAAGAAGGGCCCTAAGACGGCTCAGCCTCAGGCTCAGTCGTCTGTTACCTCGACTTCTCGAGGGGGGCACTCTTCTCGGGGACGGGGTGGTCGGGGTCACAAGGGAGGAAGGGGAGGCAAGCAGAATGCAGGTAAGAAGGGGCAGAGTTCCTGACTCTTTCAGTCCCTCGGTTCCACCCTGCCCCTTGTCCTGTCGTATGGACGATCCATGGGAAGGTCTCGAGCTCCCAAGGCCAGATCTTCCCGTTGGGGGTCGCCTTTCTCATTTTCTGCCCGATTGGCAGCAGCTTACCGAGGACAAGTGGGCAATTTCGGTGGTGTCCGAGGGTCTGGGTATCCCCCTTCTGAAGGATCCCCCTCTATCGGCAGATCCTGTTTTCTTTCCCCCTCCCGGCGATGCAGGAAAGGCTCAGGCCCTCCTAGACGAGGTCGACTGCATGTTGGCAAAGGGTGCCATAGAGGAGCTCCCGAGGTCTCTCTGGACACCAGGCTTTTACTCCCGTATGTTTCTTGTCAAGAAGAAATCCGGGGCCTGGCGTCCAATCATAGACCTCAGTGCCTTCAACAAGTATGTGGACTCTCCACATTTCAAAATGGAGACTCCTCGAGGCATTCTGGCGTCAGTTGCACCAGGCATGTGGGCAACCTCTATAGACCTCAAGGACGCTTATTTCCACATTCCGATAAAGAAATCGGCCAGGAAATTCCTGAGATTTACATCCCAGGGCAGAGTGTTCCAGTTCAGGGCCATGCCCTTTGGTCTTACCACAGCCCCCTTGGTTTTTACCAAGCTGCTTCAGGTGGTTGTGGGCTATTTACACAGTCGCGGAGTAGATATCCATATTTATTTCGACGACTCCCTGATGCTGCATCTAGATCCAGAGTCTTTGAGTCGCAGCACCAGGTCAGTCTTGACTACCCTTCTTCGCCTGGGCTTTATCCCTTCTCGAGAGAAATCCGAGGTTTTCCCCTCACAGGACTTTGTGTTTCTGGGAAACCGTTTCCTTACGGATCTCGGCCTCGTTCTTCCACCTCCGTCCAAGTTCCAGAAAGCCAAGGAATTGGTTCTTCTGCTCAACAGTTTGGACTCTATTCAGGTCAGGTGGTTTCTGAGGCTTCTCGGATTTCTCAACTCCCTTTCGGATGTTGTCCCTCTGGGTCGGCTCCATATTCGACCTCTTCAGATGTACCTACTGTCCAAATGGAAACCGGCCTCTCATCAGTGGGAGGTTCACATTTCCTTGGACAATTCAGTGAAGGCGTCGGCTATGTGGTGGGCATTGGAGAGCAATGTCCTGAAGGGCGTCTCTCTTCGGAGATCATCCCCTACAGCTACCCTGTATACGGACGCATCTATGACGGGTTGGGGGGCCTACCTCGACGGTCATTGTCGTTCGGGTGTCTGGCAGGGAGATCAACTCCAGGAGCATATCAATGTGCTGGAGATGAGGGCAGTTCTGCTGGCTATTCAGTCTCTGCGTCTGTTGCTTCAGGATCAGTCCATCTGCCTGGCTACAGACAATGCCACAGTAGTAGCTTATCTGGAGAATCAGGGAGGGACAAGGTCTCACAAACTTTGTGCTCTCGCTTGTCAGGTCCTGCTCCTGTGTCGTTCCATGGGGCTTTCCCTAACAGTGAGACATCTTCCAGGTCATCTCAATGTGTTAGCAGACACCCTCTCCAGGTCTCGGAGTCCAATTATCACAGAATGGACTTTGGACAGGTCAGTTTTCAGAGCCATCTGTATGGTGTGGGAGACCCCCCTAGTGGATCTGTTTGCCACAGCTCTGAATTTTCAAATTCAGACGTTTGTGTCGCCTGTCCCAGATCCTATGGCATGGGCAGTAGATGCTCTGTCCCTAAGCTGGGACGGTCTTCTGGCCTATGCTTTTCCTCCCTTCAATCTGTTGGGCAGAGTGCTGCAGAAGGTCAGGGAGCACGACTGCTCAGTTCTTCTGATAGCACCTCTGTGGCCCAGACAGCCCTGGTTTCCTGCTCTGCTGGACTTATTGATAGACCTTCCATTGGCTATCCCTCCCAAATGGAATCTTCTCAGTCAACCCAAATCCAGACAGTTCCATCGGAACCCAGAGCGCCTCCACCTTCACGCGTGGAGGCTATCTCGGTCTCCCTCCTCCAGGCAGGCTTTTCTGAAGAGGTTACAGATTGCATCACCAGATCAATACGATCTTCCTCATCTGCCGTCTACCAATCAAGATGGTCAGCCTTCTGTGATTGGTGTCACAGCAGGAAGATTGATCCACTCTGTTCCTCTATTCAATCGATAGCTGAGTTTTTCCTTTATCTTTTTAAGGTTAAGAAATTAACTCCAGGCACTATACGTGGCTATCGTTCTGCCATTGCCAATGTTTTTTCCTACCGAGGGCGTTCAGATATCGGAAATTGTTCCTCCTTGTCCAATCTTCTCAGATCCTTCTCTTTGGAGAAGCCTCGGGTTAGACTGCTGATGCCACAGTGGGATTTGGCTTTGGTCTTAGATTCTCTTACTAAGCCTCCTTATGAGCCCTTGGCTTCTGCTCCTTCCAAGTTTCTCTCTTGGAAGACAGTTTTTTTGATAGCGTTGGCTTCTGGGAGACGGAGAAGTGAAATCCATGCTCTATCCTCTTCTTCTTCTTGTCTCAGGTGGTCTCGGGACTATTCCTCGGTTACCCTTCTTACTGATCCTTCTTTTTTGGCAAAGAATCAGGTTCCTAATTTTTCACCAGAGCCTATCAAGATTCCTGCCTTAAAGGAGGTCTCTGGTGCTGAGAATCAGAATTCGTTACTCTGTCCTTGTAGGGCTTTGAGGTTTTATCTCGATAAAACCAAGGGGGGGCGGCGGGAGTCTAGATCCCGTCTGTTCTTGCCCATTAAATCAAGGCAGACTGATATCTCTGCTCAGACTATTTCCAGGTGGATTTGTGACACCATCAGGACTGCTTATGAGGGGTCTAGTGCTGACACTTCTGACAGGGTTAGAGTGAGGGCACATGAGGTTAGAGCTCTTTCAGCATCTTGGGCCCTTTTCAATGGTGCCTCATTCGAGGATATCATGGCGTCAGCCTTCTGGCGAGGCCGTAACACCTTTGCGGATTTTTATCTTCGGTCGCTTTCCTCCCATGCAGATGGGTTGTACTCTCTGGGTCCTCTTGTCACTGCTCAGACAGTCTCATGTCTCCCAGTCAATTCTTAGGAAGGCTACCTTGCGGCTCAGAAGGATTTTTAGAGTTTTAATTGTTAATATCCTTTACCCTTATGGGTTTTTAATGCTGTTTTTTGCTACGATTAGTGATTGTCTGCGAAGACTCCTCTACGGTAAGACAAATTCGCTATTGTCTATATGGTGGTGAGGTATTATTGAAATAAACTTGAGGTTTTTGTAGTAAAACCAATGTTTATGATATAATACTCACCACCATATATTGGAAGTCCCTCCCTCCTCCCTTTGTCTTCTCATCCAATTTGTTTGGGTGCGGAAGTGAGGTTTTGGGTCATGCGCGGTGCGTTCGTACCAAGCATTAAGGGTCCTCTCACGGGATATTTATTTTCTTTGTTATGTAAATTATGGGCTGCCGGTGGGAATACGCTATTGTCTATATGGTGGTGAGTATTATATCATAAACATTGGTTTTACTACAAAAACCTCAAATTACATTAAGTGTCATTTTGTTAGTTGCCAACCAAGGACGTGTAATTAAGCTAAGCCAGTGGAAAGGAACAGGTGGTAGATGGGGCTAGCATCACTGCATATCATAGGCAACAGCTCGTCTGAACAATTGAATCAACTTTCCACTTACTTCACTGATATCAGGTTTATGTTTGGCATAATTCAAACTAAATTTGTCAACATATTTAAACTACATGACAAGCATGGTTGTCGGTAAAGAAATCAGAACCACGTTTTCCATGTTCATTTCATCACCAATATTTACTTGTATCAGTGTTGTCTTCTTTCAGGTATAAATATGAATGTATATCAATTCACTACCATTCCATCGAAGATTTTTTTTTGAAACATGTCAAAAAATTGTCATTTTAGCTGCAAAATTGTTTGAACACATTTTATTAAGAAACCATCATGCAATATATAGATATATGAGGTCTGTATTCAAGGGTCGACAAAGTGTCCATATTTCCTTGAGAGATATAAAAGAAATGATAAGGAAAACAAAGACATGCTGGTTTCATCGCAAAATATTATACTGTGTGGTCGAAGGCTAATCTGTTATAATCTATGGGCCGCGTTATAATATTTATAATTTTTTTCGGACCGTCAAAGTTGCTACATTGGACCTTGTGCACTGAAACATGTTGGTTTCCTCAGTTTCAACTGATATTCTAGAACACATGTACCAACTTTTTGGCGGTCGAGCCTAGTCCGGCGTGACCGGATACAACTGAAATTTTAGTCTCGAAAATCGGTACATTTTGGGACAAGCTTGCAAGTGCTGATACTGAAAATCTGAAGAATCAAATGGGACCAAGACTGTAACGCTCTTATGGTTTTTCATCTTGAATTGAAATCAAAATGTGGATGGATTCCTAACTAGCTACAATGTTGTATCACGCACCGGAGTTGTACGGTTGATACTAGCAATTGATATCTAGATTTAATTGTTTTATACTGATTCTGGTAGCGGGTGGTTTTATATCTTATAATTCATATACGCTGCAGCGATTACTGGCCCAAACCCGACCTACCAACGAGTTACATGATAGTACTGGTAACAGTATGTCTGACTACTCAGTGATGGACGTATCCGAAACATCATCTCATTGTTCATTTTATCTGTTTGGGTTTAAAACTTCATATATATTGATGATTAATTCGGCTACTGAATAATTAAAAAAAATCTTCTCAAGCACAATATCAATTTCTATAATATAACAGGATTGTATTAACCTCATACATAATGCACAAGTTAACCACACGACTATCAGGATGTTTTTGTTCTATATTTTGACACGTTAATTTCTATTTCTTGCTAACTTGTTATCACGATAACCCGTTGTCATTAGTCACAATTTTTTTTCTTCAAATCGACCAAGGGAAAGAGCTGAATAGAATCTAAGTGTCATACCTCTTATATTTTTAGATAATAACAATACGGTTTTGTTATTACCTAAAAAAAATATTTTCATCGATTTTGAGATAGATTTACGGCTGGTTTTGCAAACTGTTCTAAAACACACTAATGCATAATTGATTATGCGGGAAACATTTGCTATTGTAATTCAAAACCACGAAAACATTATGAATATTCACATATTTTGACAGACATAGAGCCATCCGATACTGTGTATATGGCAGTTGGTGAACGACTGGATGTGGTGTGTTCGTACAAGGGAGATAACTCGTCAGACAACTTAACTATACAACGGTGTAAGAACCAGAATTGTTCTGCCATCCCGGCGAAACCAGTCAACACTTCATCCATCTGGGCATCAGTCCAACGCCTCAATAAGGAAGAGAACTTGACCTTCACATGTTGCTTTCAACATAACCCCAAAACCATGTCTATGTTATATGTCCGCGTCGGCTGTGAGTTTAACACTAATATTAATTAACATATTAACATATGTAATGTAGACGAATATAAAATCGGGAGATCTATATTATAGACAATTTTTTAAATCTTGACATTTCTTATATAGACGGATTAAAAATCTTGACGTGTTATATAGACAAAATGAACATCTTGACATGCGTTCTATAGACAACATGGACATCTTGACATGCGTTATATAGACAACATGGACATCTTGACATGTGTTATATAGACAAAATGAACATCTTGACATGTGTTATATAGACAAAATGTACATCTTGACATGTGTTATATAGATAAAATGAACATCTTGACATGTGTTATATAGATAAAATGTACATCTTGACATGTGTTATATAGACAAAATGGACATCTTGACATGTGTTATATAGACAACATGGACATCTTGACATGTGTTATATAGACAACATGGACATCTTGACATGTGTTATATAGACAACATGGACATCTTGACATGTGTTATATAGACAACATGGACATCTTGACATGTGTTATATAGATAAAATGAACATCTTGACATGTGTTATATAGACAACATGTACATCTTGACATGTGTTATATAGACAACATGTACATCTTGACAAAGTAATATATACAAGTTAAAAATCTTGACATAAGTTATATGGACAAATTAAATAAGATCGATCCTAGGAGTGAACATAACACTAACAAGAGACGATCAGCTTCCACTATCAATTAAGAATGAGATACAGTAGGGCAGTATAATGTATCATACACCCACACCATTCAGCCTGAACCAGTGTTTTTTTTTTTATCTATTTCAATTGATCTGTATGTTGATAAAAATCTTAAAGACTAGACTTGTCCTGAACCAGATGTTGTGTAGATGAAAACGTAGGTATCAATCTAATAATGCCTGTATCGGGTTACAGAAATATTTCTACAAACGTAGATATTTTTGGAGTGATATATTATTAAATTTACTCATAATTCATAGATTGTTTTATGTTTGAAGATCGACCTTCACCTCCGGATGACATATACTGTTTCTCACGGAACCATCAGAGCATGAACTGTACTGTAACGCTAGCAGAGAGAGACGTTAGATCAGGCCTTAGTCACAACGTTACCATCCACTTCAGTTCCACTAGGTATTTATTAATTCACGCCTCAGACACAACGGTACCGTCCACTTTCGATCCACTTAGAAGTTTTTTTTACAAAATACTCACAGTTAAACGCTACCTTAAGTAGGAATGAGTAACATATATGTTGAATATTTCGTCATCGAAGGACTCAAACACGTGGAAACTTATCCATGAGGTAACACAATCTTCATTTAAATACAGTAAAGAAAGAAACTTTAAAATCAAGAGACGGTTTGGAGGTTGTGGACTAGCACTCGACTTTGGTACTTAATTATAAAAGAACAAAAATGTAATAAGTGTTTACTGATCTATATAGATTGGATAAAATACAAGTTTTGAAACACCTTAAATTATTTATTAAGTTAATTAAACAAATAAGTTTTTCCCGCAGGATGAAAGCGATGCATAATAACGATTTCTGTCTCGTTGTTGTGCATCACTAGAGAAAGACGAAGTTTAACTTTACTTCTGTTAAAAAAACGTTTTGTCTACAACAGGTCAACAGAATGGCGCAAGTGTCCGGATTACAACCCCCAATACTACAGCTGCTACTGGAGGCCTCCGTCAGATAATGAGACAAATATTGACGATAATTTTATCATAAACAGATATTACAGAATCAGAGCTAATGTAACGAATGTACTTGGTAACAACCATTTGATACGAAAAATCAACGACACTTCAAATATTGGTAAGATATTCTAACAAATATGTGAGACAATATCATACGTTTGTAAAAACATATTCCAATGACGTTTGATTAATTACGGTTAATGTGCTGTATACCGGGTTACATCGATAATGAATTAATTACGGCTAATGGACTATACTGCTCTCATGAACAATGAGTTAATCACGGTAAATTGGCTAATGGGCTATACTGAGTTAATTACGGAAATTGTCACAATACTGGCAAACATCGAGTTAATTACGGTGAATTGTCACAGTTAATTACGGCAAATCGTCACAGTACTGGCCCTCATTGAGTTAATTACGGTAAATTGTCACGGTATTGGCACACATTGAGTTAATTACGGTAAATTGACTCCATACTTAGTGGCCTTCTTTAACGTTGAGTTAAATATGGTGTAGAGGCCCTAAACTGTCCTTATCTAAATTGAATGAATGTCTTGAAATGGGCTCTTTAACTAACGTCATTGAAGGTAGAGTTATAACGGTAAATTCTCTTTATTTGGGACCCCAGGAACATTGAGTTCTTAAATAGTAAATGGGCTCTTTGTACGTCTTTATTAACATTGAGTTTATTTCGGCTAATGGACTTACGCTCATTATTGAATGTCTTGTTTTTAAACCAGTTGTCATATCCGAACTGCGGCAATTTAAAGCGACAGATGTTACTTATAGGAAGGCGATACTGACCTGGATGTTGCCTAAAAGTTTGCAGCCAGTCACATTCATCATAAACTTTGCTATTAACTACACATCGAAATGGGATAAAAAACAGGTAGGTGTTGTAATATCATTGTGTGTATTCACAAATTTATAATTATCTGTTATAATATCATACAGTGTGTATTCACAAATCTGTAATTATTTGTTTTAATATCATACAGTGTGTATTCACAAATCTGTAATTATCTGTTTTAATATCATACAGTGTGTATTCACAAATCTGTAATTATTTGTTTTAATATCATACAGTGTGTATTCACAAATCAGTAATAATTACCTGTTTTAATATCATACAGTGTGTATTCACAAATCTGTAATTATCTGTTATAATATCATTTAATGTGTGTATTCACAAATCTGTAATTACCTGTTATAATATCATACAGTGTGTATTCACAAATCTGTAATTACCTGTTATAATATCATACAGTGTGTATTCACAAATCTGTAATTATCTGTTATAATATCATACAGTGTGTATTCACAAATCTGTAATTATCTGTTATAATATCATACAGTGTGTATTCACAAATCTGTAATTATCTGTTATAATATCATTTAATGTGTATTCACAAATCTATAATTACCTGTTTTAATATCATACAATGTGTATTCACAAAACTTTAATCATCAGTTGTAATATCATACAGTGTGTATTCACAAATCTGTAATATCATAATATCATACAGTGTGTATTCACAAATCTGTAATTATTTGTTATAATATCATACAGTGTGTATTCACAAATCTGTAATTATCTGTTATAATATCATACAGTGTGTATTCACAAATCTGTAATTATCTGTTATAATATCATAGAGTGCGTATTCACAAATCTATAATTACCTGTTTTAATATCATACAGTGTGTATTCACAAATCTGTAATTATCTGTTATAATATCATACAGCGTGTATTCACAAATCTGTAATTATCTGTTATAATATCATTTAATGTGTATTCACAAATCTGTAATTATCTGTTATAATATCATACAATGTGTATTCACAAAACTTTAAATATCATCAGTTGTAATATCATACAGTGTGTATTCACAAATCTGTAATTATCTGTTATAATATCATTTAATGTGTATTCACAAACTTTAATTATCAGTTGTAGTATCGTACAGTATCTAGTCATATTTTTTCATTTATCAGTTGTTATTTAACACTTCATGTAAACAAAAACAACTTTACGTTTGCTTCACGCATGAAAAAAAAATCTTTAAAATTGATGAGTAAAGATTTCATTCATATTCTCATAATCAGCTGGTGTACAGTAACAGGACTGTAATGAGAACGGAACTGAAAAATCTGACACCATACACTAAATACGACGTGTCTATTCGTGCAAGAAGTGAAGAAGTAACCAACTTACGAAACTGGAGTCCAGCTTACAGGATTTCCTTCCGAACCAAAGCAGATGGTATTAATTAATAATACACATTTCCCTATTGTTACAAAATGTAATAATATCAATTTAAATGGTTTGTGCGCAGCTTCAACAGATAATGAACGTTTTTTAACATTATTTTATTTTATATAAAGAATATTGATTTTTGAGACGTTCGATTACTTCTGAATGATAAACATATTCTATTTTTGTTAGTAACCTTTGATAATTTATTGCTATTCTTCATCAAGATACAAGTACTACTTTTTATGTCCAACAGCGCCGAGTGCGGCCCCGAAATCTACAGAGGGGGGTTTCTTTCTTTCGAGGATTAATAACAAAACGGGTCTTCAATGTGCCTTACACATCTACCTCAAGGTATGTACAATATTTTTTTTGATTTCCATATACTAACCTTATCAATCACGATTTTTGTAATATCAACTTATTAAAGTTTTCTTTCCGAAACATAACTTTAAACATTGTGGAACGTGATATTACTGCAAGTGTCTCCAATCTCCAATCAATCTATGTACGTTGTACATTACAAATGCAACTACGTAGTACTCCTCTGTTGTTTTGACCGGAAGTAAGACATAATTCGATTTAAAGTGGTTTCCAATATAAAATATTTTGATCTTATGTCTGCTGATATACTTTATCATCTAAGGTTATTCTTATAAGTTGAAAAGGGGGGATTCATATGACGTTTTGAAAAAGTTTCGCTTGTGGACTACTTTTGTGACGGTGTAGTTGACAGCGTGATTCGGTTAATAGCGCCAACAATCCCAACTTTTTCCGGTTGAGTAGGTTTCAACTAAATTTTGCATGAATTACAGATTTCATATTCGTCAATTCCTATTTGGTGACCACGTTCCTAGATTTTAAGGGCCTGAAAATAAATATTTCAGCTGATTACTTGATATTCGAAAAACTGGCTATTTCAGTGAAAATTGAAAAAAAAGCGCGGAGACGTCCTCCTTTTTGAATAATGATAAGTAACCTTGATAATTTCTCTATCACTACTTCAAGTCTTACAAGGAGTTTAATACTAGAAGATAGTTAAAGAAATTATTTCAGTAATTTTTTGGTTGCTATGCAGTTTAAAGCCTGTTCAATCAAATGAAAACTTTGTTTCTGTGTACAAGTACTACGGTAGACATTGTTTCTGTCTGTGTATAAGTACTACAGTAGACATTGTTTCTGTCTGTGTATAAGTACTACAGTAGACACTGTTTCTGTGTATAAGTACTACAGTAGACACTGTTTCTGTGTATAAGTACTACAGTAGACATTGTTTCTGTGTATAAGTACTGCAGTAGACATTGTTTCTGTGTATAAGTACTACAGTAGACATTGTTTCTGTCTGTGTATAAGTACTACAGTAGACACTGTTTCTGTGTATAAGTACTACAGTAGACATTGTTTCTGTGTATAAGTACTACAGTAGACATTGTTTCTGTGTATAAGTACTACAGTAGACACTGTTTCTGTGTATAAGTACTACAGTAGACACTGTTTCTGTGTATAAGTGCTACAGTAGACACTGTTTCTGTGTATAAGTACTACAGTAGACACTGTTTCTGTGTATAAGTACTACAGTAGACATTGTTTCTGTCTGTGTATAAGTACTACAGTAGACACTGTTTCTGTGTATAAGTACTACAGTAGACATTGTTTCTGTCTGTGTATAAGTACTACAGTAGACACTGTTTCTGTGTATAAGTACTACAGTAGACATTGTTTCTGTGTAAAACCTCTACAGTATGTTTTGTTTCTGTGTATGAGAACTATTGCAGAATTTGACTTTTTGAACAAGTGATACACTGGGTTTGTTTTTCAATCTAGCCTCTACTGCCGAAGGATAGAAATTGTGCCGCATCCGATATGAGATACAAGGTCTTCCTTAAAGACGAGAATAATCCATCTATCATTGGAGCTGCTGAGACTATAAGGCTTAGCCATGGGACCTGTTGGAGCAAAGGTCCTTACGATGTTGTTGTTCAGTCATGTTATAAGAATTTCACATGTTCAAAGAAACGAACATTCGTCCATATCCCTGACTTTGACCAGAAGGATGTTACTGGTAAGCTTGAAACTAGAAAGCGTTATATTCAAAATTAAAATTAGTACACTAGTTTGTGAAGTTTTGTTTACGAGGACATGTTTTTGCTGTCTGCAAAATTTATTGTTTTTTTGTGATTATAACTTGTCAACATAATAATAATGCAATACTTTAATTCAATAAAAGTAGGGCAAAATATGAACAACAAAAAATAATAAAAAAAAAAAAAAAAAAAACGAAAAAAACGAAAAAAAAAAAAAAAAACAAAAAACAAAAACAAAAAAAAACAAGGTAAACAACAACAGAACCAACACACAAACCAACGAGCATCAAACATGTCCAGCTTTTCCTTTTTATCACACAAGAAACAGGAACATATCCTATTGAGTGCACAATAGCAACATTAAAATTGTCGTCGCTAGCACATTCCTGAATTTACGTAAACAGCACATTAATGAATTGACGTTCGTGGTACAATCCCGAATTGACGTAGCTAGCACATTCCTGAATTGACGTGGCTAGTACATTCCTGAATTGACGTAAATAGCACATTAATGAATTGACGTTCATGGTACATTCCTGAATTGACGTAGCTAGCAAATTCCTGAATTGACGTTGCTGGTACATTCCTGAATTGACGTAGCTAGCAAATTCCTGAATTGACGTTGCTGGTACATTCCTGAATTGACGTATCCAGCACATTCCTGAATTGACGTAGCTAGTACATTCCTGAATTGACGTAGCTAGCACATTCCTGAAATGGAATATCCAACACATTCCTGAATTGACATAATTGCACACTGCACCTATCTGAACCTAACTTTACCGGACGATTTCTTTGTATGATGTATTTTTTTAATCTTACTAGTATTTCCATCCGCTAGCGATGTCATCGCTGAGGGGTTTGGAGGCACGAGCTTTAGAGTATCCTGGAGCATTCCCTCTTATGTTAACGAAAGTCTTGTGAAGCGAGTCACTGTATTCTGGTGTAGACGAAGCAAGGAACAACACATCTGTAAGGTAGGAAGTGACGTCACTGTATACTGATGTAGAGGGAGCAAGGAACAACATATCTGTAAGGTAGGAAGTGACGTCACTGTATACTAGTGTAGAGAGAGCAAGGAACAGCATTTGTAAGGTAGGAAATGACGTCACTGTATACTGGTGTAGAGGAAGCAAGGAAAAACATATCTAAAACGTAGGAAGTGACGTCACTGTATACTGGCGTAGAGAGAACAAGGAACAATATTAGTAAGGTAGGAAATGACGTCACTGTATACTGGTGTAGAGGGAGAAAGGAACAACATTAGTAAGGTAGGAAATGACGTCACTGTATACTGGTGTAGAGAAAGCAAGAAACAACACATATAAAACATAGGAAGTGTCGTCACTGTATACTGGTGTAGAGAGAGCAAGGAACAACATTAGTAAGGTAGGAAATGACGTCACTGTATACTGGTGTAGAGGGAGAAATGAACAACATGTCTTAAAGGTAGGAAATGACGTCACTGTATACTGGTGTAGAGGAAAAAGGAACAGCATATCTTAAAGGTAGGAAATGACGTCACTGTATACTGGTGTAGAGAAAGCAAGAAACAACACATATAAAACATAGGAAGTGACGTCACTGTATACTGGTGTAGAAGGAGCAAGAAGCAGAATGAAGGTTAAATAGACAATGATGTCACTGTAAACTGGACTTTGGCCTTAAGAAGAGATTGACCACCTCGATCACAATCTTGAATGTTGAAAAGCTATGGTAATTTATTCATTTAGCAATAGGATATATAGCACCTTGGTTATAGTGACGTGTTGGTATTTTCTTGTCGTTTATTGAAAATATTTAACAACAAACAGGATTGTAAAATGAAAACGTTTTGTCTTTTTAATCCAAATTAAGCATTTCATTTTTTACAAATACTTATTTCAGAGAAATTTGTCATGGCAGAAAATCGAGAAGCTTGTGACCTCAGCCGATATTATGGTCAATCATTCCAACTATCGTGAGTGGATGTTTGCGGTGTCCTTAATAACACATAGCGGGGAGAGTAGTGGCATGGTATTTGATGATTGTCAATTCCTGTACGATAAAAGTCTTTCACAAAAGACGGATAAAGGTAAGTAGCTTTTGCTATGTGATATATCAAAACAATGACAGCAATTTCTGTACAAGTATTCCAACTTTTCCCTATGGCTATCAGCTGTAGCATCCGATACACAAAAAGATTGAGTGTAACAAAGAAGGAAGTACAATGTACACACAGGTATAATGTACACACAGGTATAATGTACACACGAGGTGTAATGTAAACACGAGGTATAATATACACACAGGTATAATGTACACACGATGTGTAATGTACACACAGGTATAATGTACACACAGGTATAATGTACACACGAGGTGTAATGTAAACACGAGGTATAATATACACACAGGTATAATATATACACAGGTATAATATACACACAGGTATAATGTACACACGATGTGTAATGTACACACAGGTATAATGTACACACAGGTATAATATACACACAGGTATAATGTACACACGATGTGTAATGTACACACAGGTATAATGTACACACAGGTATAATGTACACACGAGGTGTGATGTACACACAGGTATAATGTACACACAGGTATAATGTACACACGAGGTGTAATGTAAACACGAGGTATAATATACACACAGGTATAATGTACACACAGGTATAATGTACACACGAGGTGTAATGTAAACACGAGGTATAATATACACACAGGTATAATATATACACAGGTATAATATACACACAGGTATAATGTATACACGATGTGTAATGTACACACAGGTATAATGTACACACAGGTATAATGTACACACGAGGTGTAATGTAAACACGAGGTATAATATACACACAGGTATAATGTACACACGATGTGTAATGTACACACAGGTATAATGTACACACAGGTATAATATATACACAGGTATAATGTACACACGAGGTATAATGTACACACGGGTTGTAATGTACACACGAGGTATAATGTACACACAGGTATAATGTACACACAGGTATAATATATACACATGTATAATATATACAAGAGGTATAATGTACACACAGGTGTAATGTACACACGAGGTATAATGTACACACAGGTATAATATACATACAGGTATAATATACACACGAGGTATAATGTACACACATGTATAATATATACATGAGGTATAATGTACACACAGGTGTAATGTACACACGAGGTATAATGTACACACAGGTATAATATACACACAGGTATAATGTACACATAGGTGTAATGTACACACATGTATAATGTACACACAGGTATAATATACATACAGGTATAATATACACACGAGGTATAATGTACACACATGTATAATATATACACGAGGTATAATGTACACACAGGTGTAATGTACACACGAGGTATAATGTACACACAGGTATAATATACACACAGGTATAATGTACACATAGGTGTAATGTACACACATGTATAATGTACACACGAAGTATAATGTACACACGAGGTATAATATACATACAGGTGTAATGAACACACAGGTATAATGTACACACGAGGTATATGTACACACAGGTATAATGTACACACAGGTATAATGTACACACGAGGTGTAATGTACACACAGGTATAATGTACACACAGGTATAATGTACACACAGGTATAATGTACACACAAGCAAGATTTTATTAATCCCTGTATTTCTTCAGTAAAATAAGGTTTGTTGCATCTCGTAGCGCCATAATGATTTTTTTCAAAGTGACAAGGAATGTCCCATTTTGAAGATATTTCTTACTTTCGGTTTACAGTTTAAATTTTGTTTTTCAGCAGTGAAACCAACCTTTAACCTTGTGACACGAGAGGGTTTGGAAGGTCAGAAGCTGGATATCGTGTCCTTGACCTTTAGGTATTGTGATACCCAGTTTCTGTCTAGGAAACCTGACTACTATGAAGTGTTCTACAAAGTAGCACAAAGAAACACAGAGGACTGCATTTATGGTATTTGATTTGTTTAAATGTTGTGTATAAGGCATAGTAATAGTATCTATAAAACCATCAACCAAAGTGTGTGTCTCTAACTAATTTCTGTAAAGCATGAACGAGCTACAAGACTGATCAAAATGGAAAGGAATTACAGAAGCAGTCAGGAATATATCTAATAACAATCGTTTTCCGATGAACAATGTATTGAAGATGTCTTTGTAATAACAATATCCTGCTGTGTGTAATATTGAGGTTGTACTCTTTGTAATAACGATGACTTGTTTTGTATAATAGTGAGTTGTATTCTTTGTAATACCAATGTCCTGTTGTGTGTAATAGTGAGTTGTACTCTTTGTAATACCAATATCCTGTTGTGTGTAATAGTGAGTTGTATTCTTTGTAATACCAATGTCCTGTTGTGTGTAATAGTGAGTTGTATTCTTTGTAATACTAATGTCCTGTTGTGTGTAATAGTGAGTTGTATTCTTTGTAATACTAATGTCCTGTTGTGTGTAATAGTGAGTTGTAGTCTTTGTAATAACAATGACTTGTTTTGTGTAATAGTGAGTTGTATTCTTTGTAATACCAATGTCCTGCTGTGTGTAATAGTGAGTTGTATTCTTTGTAATACCAATATCCTGTTGTGTGTAATAGTGAGTTGTATTCTTTGTAATACCAATATCCTGTTGTGTGTAATAGTGAGTTGTAGTCTTTGTAATAACGATGACTTGTTTGTGTAATAATGAGATTTTTCTCTTTGTAATAACACTGTCTGGTTTTGTATAATAGTGAGTTGTATTCTTTGTAATACTAATGTCCTGTTGTGTGTAATAGTGAGTTGTATTCTTTGTAATACTAATGTCCTGTTGTGTGTAATAGTGAGTTGTATTCTTTGTAATACCAATATCCTGTTGTGTGTAATAGTGAGTTGTATTCTTTGTAATACCAATATCCTGTTGTGTGTAATAGTGAGTTGTAGTCTTTGTAATACCAATGTCCTGTTGTGTGTAATAGTGAGTTGTAGTCTTTGTAATACCAATGTCCTGTTGTGTGTAATAGTGAGTTGTAGTCTTTGTAATACCAATATCCTGTTGTGTGTAATAGTGAGTTGTAGTCTTTGTAATAACGATGACTTGTTTGTGTAATAGTGAGTTGTATTCTTTGTAATACTAATGTCCTGTTGTGTGTAATAGTGAGTTGTATTCTTTGTAATACTAATGTCCTGTTGTGTGTAATAGTGAGTTGTATTCTTTGTAATACTAATGTCCTGTTGTGTGTAATAGTGAGTTGTATTCTTTGTTATACTAATGTCCTGTTGTGTGTAATAGTGAGTTGTATTCTTTGTAATACTAATGTCCTGTTGTGTGTAATAGTGAGTTGTATTCTTTGTAATACTAATGTCCTGTTGTGTGTAATAGTGAGTTGTATTCTTTGTAATACTAATGTCCTGTTGTGTGTAATAGTGAGTTGTATTCTTTGTAATACTAATGTCCTGTTGTGTGTAATAATGAGTTGTAGTCTTTGTAATAACAATGACTTGTTTTGTGTAATAGTGAGTTGTATTCTTTGTAATACCAATGTCCTGCTGTGTGTAATAGTGAGTTGTATTCTTTGTAATACCAATATCCTGTTGTGTGTAATAGTGAGTTGTATTCTTTGTAATACCAATATCCTGTTGTGTGTAATAGTGAGTTGTAGTCTTTGTAATAACGATGACTTGTTTGTGTAATAATGAGATTTTTCTCTTTGTAATAACACTGTCTGGTTTTGTATAATAGTGAGTTGTATTCTTTGTTATACTAATGTCCTGTTGTGTGTAATAGTGAGTTGTATTCTTTGTAATACTAATGTCCTGTTGTGTGTAATAGTGAGTTGTATTCTTTGTAATACCAATATCCTGTTGTGTGTAATAGTGAGTTGTATTCTTTGTAATACCAATATCCTGTTGTGTGTAATAGTGAGTTGTAGTCTTTGTAATACCAATGTCCTGTTGTGTGTAATAGTGAGTTGTAGTCTTTGTAATACCAATGTCCTGTTGTGTGTAATAGTGAGTTGTAGTCTTTGTAATACCAATATCCTGTTGTGTGTAATAGTGAGTTGTAGTCTTTGTAATAACGATGACTTGTTTGTGTAATAGTGAGTTGTATTCTTTGTAATACTAATGTCCTGTTGTGTGTAATAGTGAGTTGTATTCTTTGTAATACTAATGTCCTGTTGTGTGTAATAGTGAGTTGTATTCTTTGTAATACTAATGTCCTGTTGTGTGTAATAGTGAGTTGTATTCTTTGTAATACTAATGTCCTGTTGTGTGTAATAGTGAGTTGTATTCTTTGTAATACTAATGTCCTGTTGTGTGTAATAGTGAGTTGTATTCTTTGTAATACTAATGTCCTGTTGTGTGTAATAGTGAGTTGTATTCTTTGTAATACTAATGTCCTGTTGTGTGTAATAGTGAGTTATATTCTTTGTAATACTAATGCCCTGTTGTGTGTAATAGTGAGTTGTATTCTTTGTAATACTAATGTCCTGTTGTGTGTAATAGTGAGTTGTATTCTTTGTAATACCAATATCCTGTTGTGTGTAATAGTGAGTTGTATTCTTTGTAATACTAATGTCCTGTTGTGTGTAATAGTGAGTTGTATTCTTTGTAATACCAATATCCTGTTGTGTGTAATAGTGAGTTGTATTCTTTGTAATACTAATGTCCTGTTGTGTGTAATAGTGAGTTGTATTCTTTGTAATACTAATGTCCTGTTGTGTGTAATAGTGAGTTGTATTCTTTGTAATACTAATGTCCTGTTGTGTGTAATAGTGAGTTGTATTCTTTGTAATACTAATGTCCTGTTGTGTGTAATAGTGAGTTGTATTCATTGTAATAACGATGACTTGTTTGTGTAATAATGAGATTTTTCTCTTTGTAATAACACTGTCTGGTTTTGTATAATAGTGAGTTGTATTCTTTGTAATACCAATGTCCTGCTGTGTGTAATAGTGAGTTGTATACTTAGTAATACCAATGCCCTGTTGTGTGTAATAGTGAGTTGTATTCTTTGTTATACCAATGTCCTGTTGTGTGTAATAGTGAGTTGTATTCTTTGTAATACCAATGTCCTGTTGTGTGTAATAGTGAGTTGTATTCTTTGTAATACTAATGTCCTGTTGTGTGTAATAGTGAGTTGTATTCTTTGTAATACAAATGCCCTGTTGTGTGTAATAGTGAGTTGTATTCTTTGTAATACTAATGTCCTGTTGTGTGTAATAGTGAGTTGTATTCTTTGTAATACTAATGTCCTGTTGTGTGTAATAGTGAGTTGTATTCTTTGTTATACCAATGCCCTGTTGTGTGTAATAGTGAGTTGTAGTCTTTGTAATAACGATGACTTGTTGTGTGTAATAGTGAGTTGTATTCTTTGTAATACCAATGTCCTGTTGTGTGTAATAGTGAGTTGTAGTCTTTGTAATAACGATGACTTGTTTTGTGTAATAGTGAGTTGTATTCTTTGTAATACCAATGTCCTGTTGTGTGTAATAGTGAGTTGTATTCTTTGTAATACTAATGCCCTGTTGTGTGTAATAGTGAGTTGTATTCTTTGTAATACCAATACCCTGTTGTGTGTAATAGTGAGTTGTATTCTTTGTAATACTAATGCCCTGTTGTGTGTAATAGTGAGTTGTATTCTTTGTAATACCAATGTCCTGTTGTGTGTAATAGTGAGTTGTATTCTTTGTAATACTAATGTCCTGTTGTGTGTAATAGTGAGTTGTATTCTTTGTAATAACGATGACTCGTTTTGTGTAACATTTAAGGTTTTACTCTTTGTTAGCTGTAACTGTGAATATTCTTTGTATTGTTGTTATTGTGTTTAACAGGATCACAATTACTTAACGTGTCCGCCACTTTACGTGTCCAGGAAATTCTCCTTCCTGACCTTGACCCCATGTCGCATTATTCTGTGTGTATGAGGATCCGGACGAGCGTTGGTACCAGCGAAGTCAGTGATGTGGAATGGAGAAAACCTATCATATTTGACGGTTTGTTTTCTCGTTGTGAGCTTTGTGTTTTTGCATCACTCTGATGTAAAGTTGTCGAAGTTAATACCTTAATGTTATCAATGTGTCACTTATGACACACAAAATAATCGGACTATTAATCGCATTTGGAGTACTTATAAATATAAGCTACAGAAACTCCTAAATAATTCCAGGGGATTTGATAATTGCACACTAAACAATATGGAATGTAGACAAATCATGTGCAGTTCGATTACATCAGGTAAGGTTAAGGTCAGAGTTACGATAAGGTTAGGGTTGTTCTTAGGTTATGGTTAGGTTTGGATTAGGAAGGTTGTTAATCAGGCCCTGCAAACTTACACTTTAGGAAGGTTGTTAATCAGGCCCTGCAAACTTACACTTTAGGAAGGTAGTTATAATCAGGCCCTGCAGACTTACACATAATGAAGGTTGTTATAATCAGGCCCTGCAGACTAACACATTAGGAAGGTTGTAAATCAGGCCCTGCAGACTTACACATTAGGAAGGTAGTTATAATCAGGCCCTGCAGACTTACACATTAGAAAGGTTGTTATAATCAGGCCCTGCAGACTTACACATAATGAAGGTTGTTATAATCAGGCCCTGCAGACTTACACATTAGGAAGGTTGTTATAATCAGGCCCTGCAGACTTACACATTAGGAAGGTTGTTATAATCAGGTCCTGCAGACTTACACATTAGAAAGGTTGATAATCAGGCCCTGCAGACTTACACATTAGGAAGGTTGTTATAATCAGGCCCTGCAGACTTACACATAATGAAGGTTGTTATAATCAGGCCCTGCAGACTTACACATAATGAAGGTTGTTATAATCAGGCCCTGCAGACTTACACATAATGAAGGTTGTTATAATCAGGCCCTGCAGACTTACACATTAGGAAGGTTGTTATAATCAGGCCCTGCAGACTTACACATTAGGAAGGTTGTTATAATCAGGCCCTGCAGACTTACACATTAGGAAGTTTGTTATAATCAGGCCCTGCAGACTTACACATTATGAAGGTTGTTATAATCAGGCCCTGCAGACTTACACATTAGGAAGGTTGTTATAATCAGGCCCTGCAGACTTACACATAATGAAGGTTGTTATAATCAGGCCCTGCAGACTTACACATTAGGAAGGTTGTTATAATCAGGCCCTGCAGACTTACACATTAGAAAGGTTGTTATAATCAGGCCCTGCAGACTTACACATTAGAAAGGTTGTTATAATCAGGCCCTGCAGACTTACACATTAGGAAGGTTGTTATAATCAGGCCCTGCAGACTAACACATTAGAAAGGTTGATAATCAGGCCCTGCAGACTTACACATTAGGAAGGTTGTTATAATCAGGCCCTGCAGACTTACACATAATGAAGGTTGTTATAATCAGGCCCTGCAGACTTACACATAATGAAGGTTGTTATAATCAGGCCCTGCAGACTTACACATAATGAAGGTTGTTATAATCAGGCCCTGCAGACTTACACATTAGGAAGGTTGTTATAATCAGGCCCTGCAGACTTACACATTAGAAAGGTTGTTATAATCAGGCCCTGCAGACTTACACATTAGGAAGGTTGTTATAATCAGGCCCTGCAGACTTACACATTAGGAAGGTTGTTATAATCAGGCCCTGCAGACTTACACATTTGGAAGGTTGTTATATTCAGGCCCTGCAGACTTACACATTAGGAAGGTTGTTATAATCAGGCCCAGCAGCCTAACACATTAGGAAGGTTGATAATCAGGCCCTGCAGACTTACACATTAGGAAGGTTGTTATAATCAGGCCCTGCAGACTTACACATTAGGAAGGTTGTTATAATCAGGCCCTGCAGACTTACACATTAGGAAGGTTGTTATAATCAGGCCCTGCAGACTTACACATTAGGAAGGTTGTTATAATCAGGCCCTGCAGACTTACACATTAGGAAGGTTGTTATAATCAGGCCCTGCAGACTTACACATTAGGAAGGTTGTTATAATCAGGCCCTGCAGACTTACACATTAGGAAAGTTGTTATAATCAGGCCCTGCAGACTTACACATTAGGAAGGTTGTTATAATCAGGCCCTGCAGACTTACACATTAGGAAGGTTGTTATAATCAGGCCCTGCAGGCTCACACGTTAAGATTCTTTTATTTTTATTTTATTATTTTTTATTTTTTATTTTTGTTTTTGTTTTATGTTGCTCTAATCACAATCCGAAGCTGGTATCATCATTAGCTTGCAAGAATACGTATAAAATGTGTTATATTTTTGAGTTTAAAATAATCCGAGCATGTATTGTCATATTCCGATATAAATAAATGTACGTTCTATGAATATGATTTTATCATCCTCTGTCAGAGATTAGGTGGCCGACATAGAATTGTAATGCGTCATAACAAAGAAACTGAAAATGACTTGTGACATAACTTTTTTACTATTTATGCACTATCATTCTTATATTGGTGACATCATGTACAAAACTAACACAAAAAGGAAAAGAATACTTTTGCGTTTAAGGATACATTAGCAAGCAAATATTCATAATTACGACAATATCCTGTTGCCCTATGACGGGTCGACCGGTGTAAGGTGAAAAATGATATACATAATAAGAATGACTACGATTTTACTTCTTTTAATACAGCGTACGCTACCATGAAATAACTTACTATGACTTGTAAAATAAAATGTACAATTAATTCACAAATATGTATAAATGGTAAGAAAATAACTTTTTGTGGCAAGTTTACAGCTTCACAATTTGTAAAATGTAATGATATATATATATATAAAAAAAAAACCAGAAAAAAATATATATGTAATTACAGAAGATATTAAAAGGCCAAAGGCTGATGAGCATTATTATCGTACAAAATTCATAGTTGATAAAATGTTATACTTTGGAATGAAAATACTTCATCAGATTACGATTGTTGTGTTAAGTGTTAAAGACAGTGTTCATCAAACTTCCTGTCTATTTTCTATCTACATTGTCCTGAAATCGGTGACCCCTGTGGGCGGGATGGTTTTGCCGTGAAATTTTGACCTGACGATATCATCACAGGGTTTGATCATTGTTCAATAAACTAGCTTCAGATATGAACGATTTAACGAAACAGACAGCGGTTAATTAGCAATTTCTAAGTAACTTGATATTTAGATAAAACAATGTTCTTATGAATGACTACATCTTGGAGCGCTAAGGCTATAAGAGTTATCGCCCTTAGGCCAACAAAGGTAGTAGTAGCTCAAATTCGCATCAGACTTCGGCCAAGTAAATCTGTCTGCAACCTGGTGATAACCGATTGATTATGGTCGAGCGGCGCAATGAGAACGCACTCGTCTTTCACATCCGCGGTTCGATTCCCCGGAACAGACTAGGAAAGGTTAGGGGTCACCTGCCTGACAACATGGGGTACTCCTGTTTGCTCTGTCAGCAAGACTCTTCACCCTCTTTCATCTGGTTCTGCAAGAGTGATTGACCAATGTGTTTCAAGCTTGACTTTTGTTTAATTTAGAGCAATATAACTTGGTTGGATACATTGTTCAAGACGGTGTTTAGTATATCAATTTAAAGGCATGCAACCCCTTAATTACACAGTGTCCTTTGTTAAAATTTTCTGTATGTAGAATATATTTATTTTCATTTAATCTAACTTGTTTTCGTTCGTTATACTAACAGAATATGCAGTGTTCCATATCCATGGCTTAATGGGCTTGGTGATTGCCATTCGTTAAAATGTTACCTTCATTTTAACTAGGATAATGAAACTTGGCACATACATTAGCCATAGTTAGAGGATGGGACCGGAAACCCCTCAATTACAGAGTAATTTCCTTTGTTAAACTTCCATGTCCATTAAAGCTGTTTTCAGTGAGCATTCATAATTGCATTGGAACGATTTGCTTCTTGTTGTTTGTTTTGAGGGATTTTCACCAACTGGTGATAGAAAATATTGTGTCAAATGCCAATTTCCAGTTTTAGGACGGTGTCGCATCTAGAAAGTTCGGGTTACACAAATAATTATCATAGAAAATAAACTAATATAGATATAATAATATTAGTATACTATAATAATAATTAATAATAAGAAGTTGTACAGTCTAGAGTCTAATTATGTAATATGTAAACCGTTTGAATGATTATCTATCATGAATGTGGAACCCATTAACCTTTCAGTGAAAGGTTGTGTATAGGTGAGAAGCCCGTCAAATTGTTGGTCAACTATTTCTGTTTTGTTTGCCTTGTATTTCTGTGCAAGATATCTATCTTCTACTTCAAAGAGATTCAAATAAATGCCTTGTTGCCTTGTGGTATACAATTCGGTCCTGCTGTAGATAAGCTAAGTGTGAATGTCTTTTTTGGCCTTACCATTGACTATAATGGTCTCGGATTTTTCTGTTGTATTTCGTCTAACCATCTCGAAATGAGCTGAAAAGAGGGTTTTTTTTATTGGTAACTCTAGTTTGCCCAGTGTTATTGGACATGACTAGTGATTCAACACCACTGCTGAAAGGATCTTTGTGTTTAAGTCATGAACACAAACTGATCGAAGGAGTGTGGGTTCCAAATGTTTTCTACAGACGCCACACCGTTGTTAAATGTCTGAAAGTCTGTCTACACGATTGTTTAGATTGCTTAATGGGAATCGAGCAGCCAGGTGAATTTGAATATCTACTACAACAGCCCATATAACTCGAGGATTGGTTCACCTTTGAAGTTTATATAAGTGATACAGCTGATATTGTCGGATATGAGATGAACTGGCTTACTGAAGTATATGTGGCAAAAGAGTTCCGTCTCTATAAGAACTCTTGCTTTCATTGCAATATTTCATGGCTAGAAGAAGGATTTACAGTAATAGTTTCATACCGACTCCTTGGTTGTGTGTACAAATTCCAGAGCAATACTTTTGCTGGTAAGAAAGCATTGGACAAACGGACTAGCTAAATCACAAATGGTAAGGTTTTCTTATTTTGATTTTCCGGTTCATATAATGCTTGACTTTACGAGCGCAGTCTTGTGGAACCTATATCCATGCGTTACAATCATCATTGTCTGTACTAATAATAGAACCGATACAAAGTTATCACAGTTAGTGAGGAAGTCTAATCCTGAAAGAGTGTTCCACATGAATGACCACTGCCCATAAATAGTGCTACCTAAACCTGGTAAGATAAACTTATTTACATCCACAGATAGGTTGTTAAATGCCTGTATTTCTGTTTCTTTCTATTTTGTTGCCATGGAGATGGGAAGTAAACAGGAAGGTTTGTAATCAACTTTCGACAAAATCCGATTAAACACGTCCCTGTATGAAATTCAACAACGCTTCTGGAGTTCTAAAGGGCCTTAAAAGACTTTACTATCTATAATTTTTTCTTGGTTTGAATTATCCCCCCTGTCTTTTATTGATAAAAGACATAATTTGTAAAGTTGTTAAATAAAGCACTTCTCCTGGAGTACGATCCATTTTAATCACCTTGAAACTGGGATTACCCTCTGGTGTCTCCACTAGACGAGGTATTGCTACCTGTAATAGCGCCTCTTATAAGTGAAATTTCGTCGACTTTTTTCATTATTTTATCAAAAGACTGACAAGAAACGCAACATGGATTTAGTCTTTCTTGTAGACTTATTTATAATGCCCACCATACCCTCGCAATTCTTAATGATTCTTTCTGAGGAGTCGAACACTCGAAACACATTAGTTGGCTTGGTAAACACCTCGCCATTAAGGAATTCAATTTTCGGCATCGCAGTCTTCAGATTCAACACGCTGTTCATCATACAATCTTTCTCTTCAGCACTGATAATCTCGCTTCGTAATTCAGTCGTCCAAATTAGAGTTTATCTTTTAATTCACTGATCTGCTGAGGGACTATTGCTGAAATGATTGTTCTTTTTCACCGACCCATGCTCTCAGGCCTTTAAATAAATATGCACTTGTGTGAGGACGACAATATCCAGTTGACCTTTGACTACAAGCACACTAAACCTTAATATTTAACTTATTTATTTTCAAATTTTTATAATTTGAAAACTGGCGTCATAATCAAGACATAAATGGGCATTATTAAACAAATATATTTATTTTCAACTAGATTTATGATATATTATGATTAAGATCAAACTGACAATTATCAACTCATGTGTTTTCAGATGGCAGTGATAGCAGTTTTATACTCATCGGCGTGTTTACAGCCCTAGTTTGTTTAACAGTTGCTATTGCAGTCATATGGTATGTTTTCAATATTTAAGTTATGTTTTAACGAATTTAAAGTAAAAATTATAATAAATCATATTTGTGTCCTAAAATCCTAAAGTCTTAGGATATACGTAAGTATGAAAGGATTTGTTTGACAACAATAAATTTGATAAAATGAAATTTTATGTTTAAAATGGTAACTTTGATATTTAACTATTTGAATAATTTCAGGTATTGTTGGCGGAAGTATAAGGCTATTGACACCCATATTGATATCCCGTCTATCGACAAAGTTACGGAGGAGAGAACGAAATTGGTAATGTATTTACAAACTGTGTATGCTTTTTTATAACACACACTTGATAATAACTGTGTTTGTTTCGTTATAAACTATTTGATAATAACTGTGATACAGGTGCGGTCAATGTTTAACGATCAATAAAAACGAAATGTGTTACGACACATCGGTATAATAGCAAAGGTAAGTCGGACATGTAAAGAATATATTTATACGTCATATCGATGAGTAGAATAAGAATCAAAAGAACATAAGAAAGTGCTCTCAAATAAAGAAATATTTTTTCTATCTTTCTAAAATAAAGGAATATACGATATATCTTTCTATAATAATGAAATGTTACGATATATCTTTCTATGATAATGAAATGTTACGATATATCTTTCTATAACAATGAAATGTTACGATATATCTTTCTATAACAATGAAATGTTACGATATATCTTTCTATAACAATGAAATGTTACGAAATATCTTTCTGTAATAAAGAAATAATACGATATATCTTTCTATAACAATGAAATGTTACGAAATATCTTTCTGTAATAAAGAAATAATACGATATATCTTTCTATAATAATGAAATGTTACGAAATATCTTTCTGTAATAAAGAAATAATACGATATATCTTTCTATAACAATGAAATGTTACGAAATATCTTTCTGTAATAAAGAAATAATACGATATATCTTTCTATAACAATGAAATGTTACGATATATCTTTCTATGATAATGAAATGTTACGATATATCTTTCTATAACAATGAAATGTTACGATATATCTTTCTATAACAATGAAATGTTACGAAATATCTTTCTGTAATAAAGAAATAATACGATATATCTTTCTATAATAATGAAATGTTACGATATATCTTTCTATAACAATGAAATGTTACGATATATCTTTCTATAACAATGAAATGTTACGAAATATCTTTCTGTAATAAAGAAATAATACGATATATCTTTCTATAACAATGAAATGTTACGAAATATCTTTCTGTAATAAAGAAATAATACGATATATCTTTCTATAACAATGAAATGTTACGATATATCTTTCTATAACAATGAAATGTTACGATATATCTTTCTATAACATTGAAATGTTACGATATATCTTTCTATAACAATGAAATGTTACGATATATCTTTCTATAACAATGAAATGTTACGATATATCTTTCTGTAATAAAGAAATAATACGATAGATCTTTCTGCAATGATGAAAAGTTACAATCACAAAGTCAGTTCAAGCTTAAAGCCCCAATATACGTAAAAATCACAATAAAAAACAAACTTTATCTTATTTTCCCCGTATTATATGTATCAAAACAGATACTTTACTTTAGTTAAAGAAAATAAAACTGACAGTTTTCAATTTAAATAAAAATTTAAAAAATCGGAAAATAAACAATGTAGGACCCACAATAATTCATACATTACCGCTCGTAGCGATGACATTGCGCATGCGCATATTCCGCGTGTGTAAACATGGCAGACACAGTACAGACGTTCACCAGTCGCTTCCTTTTTTTCCAATCATACATCAGGCCAATTCTGAATTCTTACGTTATAATTGTGCGTCGTATCGTTTCTGAACTAATTATTCCTTCTAATAATTTCCCAAATACTGAATGTTTATCACAGGAATACCTCAAGTCATCGCAAACAATGTTTGTAAACAAAAACTTACCGTAGACATATCTGCATGTGCTTCCTCTTTAAGTAGAAACCTCAACTCTCGCGAGATCAGGCCATGAACTTTCCGACGTGGTTCGGCAACAATCGTAATATCGATGGCGGCATTTTTTTAACTGGAGGTGTGTTTACAAATAGCGAGTTTCAACTGCTCATATATCAATACTTTATGCACAAAGTCATGGTAACTATTGTTTGAATAACTTAATTTTAACTACATCTTAGAGAATATACCAATAATTGTGTGTGATTCTACACTGAATTTTTGGTGAATGTTACGTATATTGAGGCTTTAAGAATGGCGTTGATGAAGAAGATGATTTTATAAAAAGTCTCCTGGTTCATCATACATAGGATGGTATTGTACAATCATTTGTAGTGATTATTGTTTTTTTTTATTTATCGATAAGAAACATTTATTATATTTTCCACTTACCTTTATTTATAACAGCGCACTGAATCCTTCGCAGATAGCGGAATTTATTCTACTGGGGAAATAACCATTACACGTGAAGGAGAGAAAGGTAAAAAATTGTACATCCGCGTCAATCAGGTGTACTTTTTATACATGCTAAATATACTTGGTAAACAAACTTCAAAAGTGGAAACATCTAAAAATATATAAAAAAAAAGTATGTAGTTGACAGCACTGTTATCACCGGTAAACATAAAAAAAAAAGTTTTATAAAATTTCCTGTAGATGATAGCGTAACTATCACCAGTAAACATCGACAATGAAAAGAAACATCATAATTGCTTTATATGGGCCAAGTGAGCTTTTGACATACACCACTGCGTCCGTCCATCCGGCAACATTCCCTTCAAATCCTACTACTGGTCATCAACTTTGCAGTTTTTTTTTTTATTTTTATTTTTTTTTTTTTTTTGGGGGGGGGGGGGGGGTTGATCCAATAGGGGATTTGGAGCATATTCGTTCCTCCTGTGGCGATGTCTGTATTTTGCCCAAATTTGGTCTGAAGCATTCTTGGATGATGAAGAATCAGTTTTGTATAGAGGATGGGTCTCGACCCCATGTGGGTGCGGGAGGGTCGGGGCTAATTAAGGGAAAGAGACCTGAATATTTGATATTTTTCTTCTGAAGGAATACCTGTATGTTGGTCCAAATTTGGTCTGAAGCATTCTTGGGTGAGGGGACCCAACTTTGTTTTAATTCTGGATCTCGGCCCCAAAGGGCGGGATGGACGGAATGAGAGAGGTCAGTAGGGTAAAGTAGAGCAAATTCCTTCTGGTCTAATGTATACTTGGGTGAAGAGGATTTTTTTGTGTTACATGGTGGTTACCGATCCCTGGGGCGGGGCTTGGCCCTATACAATGATTTGAGAAACCCTTTAAATGAGTTCTTCTTCTGTAAGGATGCATTGATTCTGCCTCATTATGGTTTGAAGCATCCTTGGATGTAGGGAATTAAAGTCCCTTTCGGCCCACGAGGATTGTCGAGGCAGGGCCAAATAGGGAAAATAAGGAAAATTGTGAAAAAAATCGTTTAGTAGGTAAGCCTTAATTCTGTCCATTTTTTGTCCGAATCATGCTTGGTTGCAGGGCACCAATTCTGTAGAAAATGTAGGTTTCGCCCCATAGGTCGAATAGTTAAAGTAGAGCAATTTTTTTTAAATGTTCTGTTGAAATTATTAAAAAAAAAAAAAAAAAAAAAAAAAAAAAAAACCCCAATCAATATTAAAAGTATAAGATAACAATTGAATTGACGATTTAGTTGACCTTTGACCTTAAGTGACCATTTTATTAACCTTTGAAAAAAATGACATCGCTATAAGATATAAGAGCGAAAATTATACCATATTTGTTAATATTGATAACTTTCTGACTTGTGTCTTTTGATGACATGCTCATGAAAAGTATGCCATGTTGACTGATATTGATGGTTTATTTCACCGGTGGCCTTTGATGACCGTTGTCTTTTTCATTGGAATAGCTTATCATTTTTATGCAAACGTATGCCATATTGATTTATATTGATAATTTATTTAACTTGTGCGCTTTGGTGACCTTTGAATTTTAAGTAATGACCTTGATATTGACCTATTCTAATTATCTTTGGTGACCTATATATTGACCTTTGACATACCGTTGAATTGATATAAAGGTTGTATGCTATATTGATAGGCATTTCTGATCAATATATCAGTAGCATTAACTGCCCTTTATATTGCTATATCAAGCCTCCAGTACAACATAGCAAATGACTTGTGTTAGAACAATAATTCTTCAATAATACATTGACTACGATTTTATCGTGATGTGCCTTAATTTTTTCATCACTTACTACCATGGTCTGAACTTTGTGATTTTAAAACCCGCCACCTGCATGCATGCACAAACATGCCACTATTTGAATATTTTCAAACTGATTACGAAGGAAACGACTATTTTGTCTAAATTTTGTCCAAATTTGATCCGAAGTATCCTTGGGTGAAGAAACTGACATTATGTATGTTTGTCTAAACAGTGCATCTACACTCTTAGGACAGAGGACTGAATAGTTTGTTTTATTTTTCATAACCTTTTTTGAGAAATCCGATAATACTACTGTTCCCTCCGCATACAAATACCATCGTATCAGTCCGATAGGTTTCTGATTATCTTACAGTTAGGAAAATAAATAAAAAGAGGTTGATCTTGATGCTATTTTTTTAATTACAGGTCAGAGCAGCAAACAGCCAGCTCGGTTAGAATATATGAGAAGTAATGACAATGAGACAAAGCTTGGTGACCAGGAAAGCACAGCTATGGTCAAGGCAGATTCTGACCAAACCACTACCTCTGATCAAGCAGGAATACCTTGTAGCATGCTTAAAAATTTAGACAAGAAACGTGGTTCAGACCTGTCTGATTACTGTCGCACTGATAACAAGACGAACGACACGACAAGTAGCTACAGTAGCCTGTGTGTTAGTGGTAATCAGGATGACGGGTATGTGGATGATGGAGCGGTTTGGGACAAGATAGCCGATGATATAGGCAGTACGAGAATACCAGACAATGATAATAGCGGCCATATTAAAGTCATGGACAGTGATGATTTCAGCCTGACACCTTTGCTAATTGATAATGATTCTGGAGTGATAAAGACGTACTCTGGTCACAATTATCGCCCACAACTAGACAAGGGAATTACACCATTGCTACTAGATAGTGACTACAGTACTTCCGATAGCAATGGTTTTCTACAAGAGGTAAACGTGCCGCTGTGGGAAGGTGGATGTGATGATCCTCTAGAAAGGTCGAGTCAATCTAGCTATGATGTAACGAATAGATATTCGCTTATATTTTCAAACGGAGATAATCAAAATGAAAGACATTTGCTGAGAGTTCCTAACAAATCATACACCATGTCTTTGGAGATATCGTGTCTAGATGGTTCTTCGAGAAATCCATGCTTAGTTGATGAGTCTGAGGATGGACATAGCTTAGTGTATAAGTATGGAGATGTTGGGACTGATACAACATGTTCTAAACCTCCCAATGAGGCAATCTCTCCACTATGTGAGCACTATTTAGATATCCCAGTTACAGAGTCTGACTCACGAATATATAAACCTGTTATAGAAAATAGTAACTCAGATAAATTTCAGCCGACGACTACATGTCAACAGCGCTGGGGACATTCCGGAACATTTGATCAACATCAGGACGACGACGGTGCATGTTGTGATCAACGCGAGCATAATTCTAGTACATGTTCTGACGAATGTAAAAATTTTAGCACGTGTCATGACACAGATAAAGACACTTCCGGTTCATGCCGTGACCCTCACAAAGGCCATTCAATTACACGTCATGGCCCAGAAAAAGACACTTCCGGGTCATGCCGTGACCCTCTCAAAGGCCATTCAATTACACGTCATGGCCCAGAAAAAGACACTTCCGGGTCATGCCGTGACCCTCACAAAGGCCATTCAATTACACGTCATGGCCCAGAAAAAGACACTTCCGGGTTATGCCATGAACCTCTCAAAGATTATTCTGGTACACGTTATGGCCCAGACAAAGACAATTCTGGTTCATGTCGAGGCTCACACAAAGATCATTCCGGTTCCCGTCGTAACTTCAATGAAGAACGGGAAAGGTGTGTCACTTCCAATTCCGATAAACGTTTTGAATCGAATAAGAAAATACAAGGTGAAACTGAAAGTGAAAGTGAAAGGACGATAAAGAGAGGACAATACGTGGCTAGAATATGTTAAATGATAATGCATTTTAATATATCAGTTTTTTTCTACTACAGAAATGGTGCGGAATGAGTCAGTGAAACAATGTTATTATTGTGGAAAAGTTATCCACACTTGATGAGTAACAGAATGGATGTGACGTCCCTTTACCAAAAGACGTGATATGAAAGCCATACTTTTTTTATTGGTATTTAAGTATAATTTGTAATAATTTCATTATTTTTTCCGTCCGTCCGCATTTGCTTAAGTTCTTGGCAGGAAAGTTATAGAGGCCTACAGATCAGCCATAGATGATGTTACGATATTAATATTTGCTTCAATGACAATTTTGTTGTGGACAAAAGTTTTGTGCAAGCTTCAAATGCATAGTTTTGAAAAATATCACTTAGCTTATAATCAACTCAGTCACTACAGATTTTTTTTGCTTTTGTTTTTCAAGTTATGGAATTTTATAATTTTATAATCAGAGATATACTCCTGTACATTAACACTGTATTTGTCACGGATGTTTCCCAATTCTTGATTTAGTCACATATGTTAGATCAAATATTCAAAATCCTGTTCAAATGAGGGCTACTACGTATAGGTGGTGCCTGGAATAATAAAACAGTAAAATTCAGATAAGGATAATACCAAGACCTGCCAATGATCTATGTTTGCTAGAATCTGATTTACCCAATAGCACTCCATTGCTAGTATGGACTGATACAGTCTCCTGAGCTGTGCTTTGATGTAATATATATATAGATCTGGTGTGACAGTAATTTCTGAACGAATATATTTTTTTAAAAGATTTTTTTTCAAATTTTTGCGTTTCTTATAATATGATTTGACAAACTTCAAAATCTGACGCAATATAATTGATATTTCAGTTCTTGAAATAGCATTCAAATTGAAACGAACGAGGCAATGAGGCACCAAAACAAAACAAACAAAAACAAAACAGGAAATAAACAAAAACAAAACAAAAAAACAAGAAAATACCAACATGTCAACATAATCATAATCCGAACTCAAATTCAATAAAACTAGGGAAAGTATGAATCAAAGACATATTTACATGGAGATTCCTGAAAAAAGTAGAGGCTAATAAGACCAGGTGTTCCGGATAGATAAGCGTCTTCTGCTCCATCGACGACAACCTTGGTCAGTGGGAGTAAGTAATGTCACGTGGTAATGTGAGAGAAAGAACCTGGAGTTCAGATGTTACCGAAACAAGTCGAAACAACTACTACTATCTGAGTTTAAATAAAACGAAATAAAAGTGATATACTATCTAGGAATAAGTGCCGGAAGCAGGATAGAAAATATATATGAGTTTCATGACACTGGTATTATATTTTGAAATCGAATCCTTTTGACAGTCGCATTTGTCAGTAATATCAAATTAACGTCACACATGGATAAAACAAGAGATAGTCTATTTATTCTTCCAAGGATGTCTCATTTGATATATTTAACAAGAGGCCCACGGGTTATCTGGCTATAAAGACATAAGTATGAAAGAGGTCAGATAGGCCTAAAATAGATTGCTCAACTACTCTACAGTTTACAAAGAAGACATTTGTTTTTTTTTCATTAAAAACATTTTCTGCAACTTGAAATCATATTCTTTATACATGATACTGCAACAATGCCATTATTCCGGACGTAATGCTTGTTCGGATTTTAAGATCGCAACATACTTAACCCAACAGATCTTGAATATAGTTCAAGGCCAATTATTTAAACAAATTGGTAGCCCTTCATCCACTTATATTAGACAACCAATATTTACAACCTGAGCATTTTTGTTCTGAAGAAGACGTTGTTTGAAAATTGGAACACATTTGACCACTGTGACCTTTGAAAAAGAAAAAATGTCAATCACATGAACAGAATTGGTAAACTGATACTCAGCACTTTTTTGTTATTGAGAAGGAGTCATTTAAAGATGTTCACATATTGGTCCTCTGTGACCTTGAAAATGGGTCAAGTTCAGTCATTTCCAAACATGCTACGGGCCTAACATCAGCGCCCTGGGCCTTTTGTTTTTTTGGAAGAAGTCATTTGAACTGAAAGTTCACGCACGGCGGACGGCGCCTGACGAAACACGATGGCTATAAGTCATCCTGACCCTTCTGATGACCTAAATCTGCTTTGCTTGAACCAGACGGAAAATTCAAGTTTATTCTGTTTTTCCGCTTGAAAAAAAGAGAAACATACAAGCTGATATAGGCAGTCTGCGCTTGAACCAGGTGGAACATACAAGTTGATATAGGCAGTCTCTGCTTGAACCAGGTGGAACATACAAGTTGATATAGGCAGTCTCTGCTTGAACCAGGTGGAACATACAAGTTGATATAGGCAGTCTGCGCTTGAACCAGGTGGAACATACAAGTCGATATTGGCAGTCTGCGCTTGAACCAGGTGGAACATACAAGTCGATATTGGCAGTCTGCGCTTGAACCAGGTGGAACATACAAGTCGATATTGGCAGTCTGCGCTTGAACCAGGTGGAACATACAAGTCGATATTGGCAGTCTATGCTTGAACCAGGTGGAACATACAAGTCGATATTGGCAGTCTGCGCTTGAACCAGGTGGAACATACAAGTCGATATTGGCAGTCTGCGCTTGAACCAGGTGGAACATACAAGTCGATATTGGCAGTCTGCGCTTGAACCAGGTGGAACATACAAGTCGATATTGGCAGTCTGCGCTTGAACCAGGTGGAACATACAAGTCGATATAGGCAGTCTGCGCTTGAACCAGGTGGAACATACAAGTCGATATTGGCAGTCTGCGCTTGAACCAGGTGGAAAATACGAGTCGATATAGGCAGTCTGCGCTTGAACCAGGTGGAAAATAGAAGTCGATATAGGTAGTCTTTGCTTGAACCAGGTGGAACATACAAGTTGGTAAAGGCAGTCTGCGCTTGAACCAGGTGGAACATACAAGTTGATATAGGCAGTCTGCGCTTGAACCAGGTGGAAAATAGAAGTCGATATAGGCAGTCTGCGCTTGAACCAGGTGGAACATACAAGTTGATAAAGGCAGTCTGCGCTTGAACCAGGTGTAATATACAAGTTGATATAGGCAGTCTGCGCTTGAACCAGGTGGAAAATAGAAGTCGATATAGGCTGTCTGCGCTTGAACCAGGTGTAATATACAAGTTGATATAGGCAGTCTGCGCTTGAACCAGGTGGAACATACAAGTTGGTAAAGTCAGTCTGCGCTTGAACCAGGTGGAAAATACAAGTCGATATAGGCAGTCTGCGCTTGAACCAGGTGTAATATACAAGTTGATATAGGCAGTCTGCGCTTGAACCAGGTGGAACATACTAGTTGGTAAAGACAGTCTGCGCTTGAACCAGGTGGAACATACAAGTTGATATAGGCAGTCTGCGCTTGAACCACGTGGAACATACAAGTTGGTATAGGTAGTCTTTGCTTGAACCAGGTGGAACATACAAGTAGATATAGGCAGTGTCTGCTTGAATCACATGGAACAGCAAATCGTAACAACAATTGTCTGTGAAATAAGTCACCACGCATCAAATACAAGTAAACAAATCACAAAGACATTAAATGGGAAGGAATTTCAATAACATTTATATAGAGAGTCCACTGAATTAATCACAACGACAAATAAGAGCAAATTCTAATCATATTTACAAACAGTATCTGCGAAATGGATCACGTCATATAACTTCAGCAAATTCTAAACATATTTACTATCAGGTTTAATACCATTAATCACAACGACAGCAAATATGGGCAAATATCAATTACTATTACGAACATTTTCAGCGAAATTGATCACAACGAGGTAAAATATTTTCAAAATCCCAAACATTGAAACCAACAACTACGGGTTAATTAGAAACAGTCATATACCACGAAGACTTCAAAATACCACGGAAATAACAGTCTCGCCGAAATTACGCAGGAAGTCGTATATCACGGCATTACTTACATATGAAAGTAGAATATCATTTCAGTTTCAAATATAGTAGGACGTGTCCGTAAAATTACTCATTTAGTCAAATATCCTGGAGATTAGAATTACATTCACGTGGTAAATCAGTAATCAGTTATCATCAATTACATCAGCAAAAAATATTCCCATGAGAAGTTACACATGTAGTAGAATATCATGGATACCACAAACATCATGATACGAAACAAAACATCAGAGCTATCTTTAAAATGAAGGAACTATAAAATGAATAACGATGTTTCATCATAGGAAATCAGTTTTTTCCTTTTCATTGCTTTTGTGATCTAAGGTTTCTTCAGCATCATCCGTGCCTTTTTCATTGGAACGTGTTTCCTCCCTTGAAGACCTTGAACCACGACATGGAGTTATAGATATCAGCCACCTGGTCTTCCTTGTAAGGGCCGTTCAGGTTTGAGTCAACACATACGTTATACCACCAGGCTCCTACACAATTAATAGCCCAGTTGGTACCACTCCACATGTCGTTGTCTGAGTCAAAGGTTGTGAACTCTTGTCCGTTGTGGTACCGAAGAGCGTCATCTGAAAACACCACAAAATGTTTTTTGTTAGTCATCAAACCTAATGACAGAGATACCTGGATGGTTCCGAGACACCTATCGATACATCGTGGCTTTCTTACTGAGATACTGTACAGTTGGTGATTTTCATGGTTCAAAATTATCGCGATTTTCTTCAAAAACGTTTGAATTATATTTCAACGAATTGAAATTTTGCACTCGAGATGCAAAAGGACTTCTCAAACATACGTATTTCATTACTTCACGGTCTAAATTTTCACAATCATTTAATGTACCACGAAATAGGGAAAATATCATCCCGCGAAAATAACCAGCTACCATTGATATCCCGGTTATTGAGAGGGTACAATTTAGAAATGTCTCCTTTGTACTTTGTGTCACATATCATTATTGTTTTGTAGGAATTCATCAGCGTGACGATGGCATTTCATAAGCTATTACACCAAAACAGTACAGTCATAAGACGAAATGTGTGGACATGTTACACATGATGAAGTTATGTCAACAGCCATACTCAAACATCAAACACATGATGAAGTTATGACATAAGCCATACTCCAACATCAAACACATCATGATAAGCTGTGTCTACAGCCATACTCCAACATCAAACACATCATGATAAGCTGTGTCTACAGCCATACTCCAACATCAAACACATGATGATAAGCTGTGTCTACAGCCATACTCCAACATCAAAAACATGATGATAAGCTGTGTCTACAGCCATACTCCAACATCAAACACATGATGATAAGCTGTGTCTACAGCCATACTCCAACATCAAACACATGATGATAAGCTGTGTCAACAGCCATACTCCAACATCAAACACATGATGATAAGCTGTGTCATGATGATAAGCTGTGTCAACAGCCATACTCCAACATCAAACACATGATGATAAGCTGTGTCAACAGCCGTACTCCAACATCAAAAACATGATGATAAGCTGTGTCAACAGCCATACTCCAACATCAAACACATGATGATAAGCCCCTAAAAAAACACCATTCAATTATGATCTGTGTCAACAGCCATACTCCAACATCAAACACATGATGATAAGCTGTGTCAACAGCTATACCCCCACCCCCACCCCCCTAAAAAAACCCATTCAATTATGTCAACTTCCATACTCATTCAATACACGGTAAGCCGTGATGCTGACTGATTAGGCATTCAGCTGCCTGTCATATGTTATATATATCAACCTGATTATATCATTTATGATTCGATGTCAT